GCGCCGCTCGGCGGGGGGCCGCGGGGGCGGGAGGCAGGGAGGGGAGCTCGGCGCCCACAAGAGGGAGCGGGAGGGAGAGAGGGAGAGGAGGCACCTGCTGCTTGCTGGTCGCGGGGGTTGCTGTCGCCGCCGCGGCGCTCATCCCCTTTCGGCTGGAGGCGAGCCAGCCTCGTCGGTTCCCCCTCATCCTGTAGCGGCGCAGCCCAGGGGAAGCTGCCCCGGCCGCCTCCTCCTCTCCTTTTGCGCGGCAGAGCGCGGAGTCGGGGGTCCCCACTCCTCCTGCTGCTGTCCCGCCATGGGGTGCTCGAGCAGCGCTCAGACCCAAGTCAAAGACGGCAGCCGGCCGGCTTCCACGTCCCCGGACGCCAACGGTCTGAAGAAGTGCGGTGAGAGGCACCCTCTTGGCTCTTGGGCTTGTTCGGCTGGGCTAGCTGCAGTGGCCGGGGGCCGGGGCGAGCCAGCCCGCTGAGCGGTTCCCCCTCCCTTTGCATGCCTGGGTGTAGAAATGCCTCCCCCGGTACTAAGGCTGAGGAAGGGTCGGTAAGAAGGGCACGCCTGTGTCTGGAGGGCATTCCTGGCTGGGACCCTCGGACCTCAATCGTCTACCATGAAGCTCCTGGACCTTCTCAAAAAGTGGGGGCGGGGGGAGCTCCAGGAGGTGACCAGCTGTTGTCGCTGAACTTTTTATTTGCTTCTAAGCAACTCCTTCGGAAGTCAAGACCCTTGCCCTCCTCTATAGCTGCCTGCCCTGATTTATTCATTTACTGAATCTGTTTTCTGTCTTCAAATAGGACCACAGATTATCTCTAAACAAGTCTGTCTTCTTAATTCAGGTGTCTTTAAATTGCTGGATTGCAACCTCCATCACCTAGAGAGTATGATCATTCATACTGGCCAGCAGGATGGCGGTTGTACCTAATGTTGTTGTTTAGTCATTCAGTTGTGTGACCCCCACGGACCAGAGCACGGCAGGCCCTCCTGTCTTCCACTGCCTCCCGGAGTTTGGCCAAGTTCATGCTTGGTCAAATTCATGTTGTACCTAATAGGTTTTGCCTAATAATTAAATGCATGTTGTTGGACTAAAACTCTAAGGATTTTTCATCCTTGGGAATGCTGGTTGGGGATAATGGGATTTGCAGAGCTACAGGATTTGGAGGGCTACGATGTTCATCATCCTGCTATAAAAGTACAAACTCCAGAGGCTTCTCTCCCTCCCCCCCCCATTACACTCTCTGGAGCACACAGAGGTGGAAGTAACCAGAACATGGAAGGTATATTCTGCCTAGTTTGTTTGTCATGGGTTGTTCTTTTGTTAAAGCTATTGCTCCGGTATTTGGTCATCAGTAATGCAAATAACAACTAGCTTAAGATATCTTTACATAAAAATCCTACCCTGGCAGTGTAGAGCCTGTTGCGAACTGGATGAGGATGCATACATTTGGTGGTCGCTTGTAGATTGAGTTAATGAGGGCAATTTACACCAACTTGGGGGGGGTGCCCCTTGCCCCAGTCATGCACAGCCTGTACATGAACTGGGATGTAGATGGGATAAGATGGAATTGTTTATACAATAATGGAAACTGAAACAATCAGGAAGCAATGATTGTATCTGTCTTACAAAGACCATACATACTTCGAGCTTGAGGATGTTCTTAAATAAGATTTCCTCAAGTGTGAGTTACAATCACAATACATTTAGCCACCTTTTTGCTATACAGTAGTATTCTTTCTGGATATTTAAGGATGTTGCTGGTTTTTTGTGTGTGCATACCATGGTACTCTCTCAACTTGGCAACTGTAATATACTGTACAAGGAGCCATCCTTGACAGCAGACTGCAGCTTCAGTTGATTCAGAATGAGCTAGTTCTTGATTGTGACTTGGAGCCATAAACTTGGGAATATATTATGCTGATATCATGCTTTTGCTTAGTAGAGTAAGTCACAACTAGCATGAGCCCATTAAATCAGTGGAACATACAGAGGAGCTGACTTGCTAAATCCCCACTGATTCAATGGGCCTGCTGTAGTTGTGACTTACTGTGCTAAGCAGGATTTCAGCCTATGTTTGCCTTAGTGGCTCATTCAGACTTGCTGATGTGGACAGGGAAGAAAGCAACTGGACTATGATGTCTCTGCTTTCAACCTATAGCGTGATAATTTTCACTCTGCTTTCCTGCTTCTAAGCCTTTTCTGGCTGACTGACAACTCCATGTTTCTCCTAACACGTGAAACTAATAGAAAAATAAGGACAACTCTAGGGGCACCTACAGTGCCACCTGCATATTCCACATCTTTCAACTGAGGCAACACCCCTTGCCTTTGATCAAATCCACAAAAACCTGAGCTGAATGAGAAGTTTTGATCGGAATCCTGTTGGTGTTTAATGCTTTGCATAAAGGAAATCACTTAAGTCTTGGTGGCAGGTTGTTATGCACTATTGAGATACTGGGTACATTCCTGGGTGTGTGTCTGATTTTGTGCTTGGGAACACAACCAACATTTTATTAATGAGTGGGAATATGCTGTCCAGAGTTAACACAATTTCCCTTATGCAAAGTAAACACAAATCAGCAATAAGATTCCAGCTGTTATCCTTTAAAGCTTCAGCAACTTTCTTTGTGTTGTTTATTGTTGTCATGGGCTAACGTGGCTACTCTCTTAGCACCAGAAAAGTAGACCCAGAATATCCTCTGGTGGCGATTGGTGGAGTAATGTATATTACCATAAATTATTCCTTCAGCTGTGTTCTAGTATGAGTATGGGAACCACATAATGGCAGGACAATGATCTTATAAATAGATAGGACGTAAATTTTAATAATATGTGGATCTAGATTGTCTGAGTAATAATTTCCAGAATAGTAAGAGCATTTCAGGAGCAACAAGAAGTCTTTTGGTACCTTAAAGACTAATAAATGTAATATGGCACAAGTGTCTATGTCATCTATTTCCTGAAAAATATGTATCATATAACAGGGGAGCAACAAATGGTGTTATGAGAGGCAAATGATACGCAGAAAGTAGAAATAATTTAAAATCACATTATTGCCAATGTTCATAAATAACAGTTTATGTTCTTGTCTTTTTCCTTTTCAAAATACATGATTTCTTGACAAATCAGATGACAACTTACCCATCACGAAAGAAAATGACACAATATCTGACCAGTGCAAACTTGTTGCAATAAAGAAAGCAGAGCTTGAACCTCATGGAACAAAACTCAGTGAGGGTTTGGCCAAAGAGGAGGCAGATGTTTTGATTCCAGGAATAACAAGTTGTGCCCTTTCTACCTGTCAGAGAGTAGACCCTGAAGGCACAGAGCCTCAGCCAGTGACACTGGAAGAGACATTGGACAGTAGTGGACCTTTGTCTCCACCTCTTTTAGAAGCTGGTGAGCCTTTGCCTGTGGAACCATCCAAGGAGGTTGTTCTTGAACCTTGGGATGCCAGCGAAGCTGCTGACGGTTTGGTTCCTCAAACTATACATGACAGTAAGCCTGAATCTGTTGAATCGTCACAGCATGACACACCTGAGCCTGTGGCAGAAGAAAGTGCTAATCTTGTGATGGAAATTGTAAAGGAACTGCAAGTGGATGAAGAGGAACAGCAAACTGAGGGTAATAAATGCCTTCTTACAGATACAGAAGTCATGTTCTGACCTATATTGCAGATTCAACTGAGATTAATGAATTTTTGATACCAGGACCTGAGGGCAGATTTTTTTTTTGTCCAACGAATTTCAACATAGCATTTGCAAATAAAGAGACTGCAGGTATCTTCTCTATAGAAGTTTTGGAAAATGGTGAAGAGTTCTTCTAAATGAGCTCAGTACTACCTGTTATCTCCCTCAGTCATTTATGGTGAATAGGTAATGGGTGACTGGGTGCGTGAGAAGCCATAGCACGGGGATGGTTACAGAATACAGTGGCACAAAGCCATTCTGATTTGTGGCTAGATCCACCCATCATGAACTCTGACATCAATTTATTTCTTTTTCCCTTTAAGGATTTTCTGGGGTTCAGTCAATGCATCTTAATATTTGCTAAATCAGAGGTCCATCATATCCAACAGTGACTAGAAATGTCCTTTTGGAATATTTAATATAAAGGAGAAAAGGATGAGAATCTGAATTTTTTGAGGGGGGGGCACTGCCATCTAGCAATTGGAGGTATATTACCACTGAATACGAGTTCCCATAGCTCTGAGAGGACACTGGGCATGATACCTTTGAGAATACCTTACTCTGTTAGTCTTTTGACACAGGTGGTAGTACATCTGCAAAAAGCATTGTGTAGACCCTAGGGGTCCCCAACCCCCGGGCTGCGGACCTGTACAGGTCTGTGGCCTTGGAAGGACTGGGCTGCTGGGATAGATGAGCGGCGAGCAGGAGGTGAGTAGCGAACGAAGCTCCGCCTCCTGTCAGCGCATTCCTATTAGGTTCTAATGCCCCTGCTGATCTGACAGGAGGCAGAGCTTCGCTCCCTGCTCCCCTCCTGGTGCTGCTAGAACAGCTGTGACTGGCATTAGAATATAATAGGAGCCTGCACTCCTATTAGCTTCTAAGCCACTGCTGATTTAACAGGAGGCGGAGCTTCAATTGCTGCTCACCTCCTGCTCCTGCTCACCATTTCTTTGTTACGGGTGTGAAATTGAGCTCGATTCAAAGCTATCCTCCAACAACCTACTGCATAAAATGTACCACCCACCCCCCAGTCCTTGGGAGAATGGTCTTCAACTAAACTGGTCCCTTGTGTCAAAAAGTTTAGGGACCACTGGTGTGGGGAATAAAGCCATATGATTTGAATGATGACCAAATTGATTACTGCTTCTGTGAGTTCAGATTCTGTTTACATGAACTTACTTGTCTGACACAATTAATGAAGGTAGACAAAACCTATAGAATGGGCTTTTTGCAAAGGGATTGTTAACTTAGTTTCACATTAGTGTTCTAAATACATGCATAATTTAGGGACTGAGCCAATTGACAGGGATTGTTATAAAGAGAAACAGAGAACACAGTGGTAGGTCCACTTAAGACATAATATGTCAGCTGGCAGGTGCTGAATGCTACTTGTGCTTTGCCCATCTCTTCTTTTTTTATATAAAGGAAAATGACATCCATAAAGTGCTGGGGCACTGAGTACTCTTTTAGTGTTTCCTGGCTTGATCTCTATGGTTACTCTTCCAGGTGAGACAGGAGAAAAGACGGAAACTGAGATGCACCATGAGATAGTAAGTGCGGGCTCTGAAACAAAAGAAGAAGAAACGGGAGAAGTTACAGCACCAGCAGCAACAGAAGAGATAGGTATGTTGATAGACAAGTAAAGGATTAATATCTTAGGAGCTCATAAAGCTGTGTTGATATTCATAATCTTTTGTTAGCAACTCCAGGGTAGTTCTGGCCTTAAATATAGGAGAGATTTAAACAGCATACTTCAGGCCTTTTCATCTATGCACCTGCTTATGTTTTATGTCATTAGCTATGATATTTGTCCTTTTAAAAAATCCCACATACATCTGGATGTGTCCTACATTCATTTTTTTGTTTGTTATTTTTCTACTTCTATACCGCCCCTTCAGTATTATCGTTCTATGAGTAGTTCATAAAATTCAGTAAAATCATAATAAAACACCATATAATAAATACAATAAACCCCGTCACAAGCTTAAACAATAAACTTAGTTTTAAATAGAAATACACAAATGAGAACTCATTTGAGCATCTCAGGATAATATTCACACTAGTAGCTTTATATAATTCTGTCTTAATTCACTTCCCAAAAACAGAACGTGAAAGTGGCTGGCGAACCTCTGGAAAATTTATTCCAGAGGGAAGGGCCACAACTGAGAAAGCTTGGTTCCTAGTGTTGGATATTTTGGCCTCCCTGGGTGTTACAGTTCTTAACTCCAGTGACTTCATGGAGCAGGTGGAACGGGTAGCTATTTTACAGGAAAGATGTTTGGCCAAATATCAAGGTTCTAAACTGTTAAGCGCTTTATAAGTTTTGACCAGTGCCTTAAATTGAGCACAGAAACTAACAGTCAATGAAGAAATGCCAAGACTGGGGGTATATGTTCAGATGTGTTGGTACCTGTAATCAGTCTAGCCACTGCATTTTCTACCTGCTGATGTTTCTGTACTGACTTCAAGGGCAGCTCTATGTATAGAGGTTATAGTAGTATTTTAGAGACTACCAATGCATGAACAACTCTTGTTAGGCATTTCCTATCCAGGTAGGGGAACAGCTGAGCAATCAAACGATGTTCATAAAAGCCACTCTTGGCCACAGAAGGCCTTTGCACCTCCATAGAGAGAGCTGAGTCCAAGAGTACCCACAAGCTGCAAACCTGATCCTTCAGGGGCAGAGTAACCCCATCAAGGCCAAGTAAATATCTGTCTTAATATCTGCCGCCTAGAGTGGTCGAAATGACTAGATAGGCGGGGTATAAATACAATAAACAAACAAACAAACAAACAAACAAACTCATCAGGTCCAAGCAGCACTCAAGGACCCGCACAGCATCACCTGCAGATGAAGGAGAGATAGAGCTGTATGTCATCTACATGTTGATGACAACAAACTGTAAATCTTTGTATGACTTCTCCCTGTGGCTTCATATAGATATTACAGTGGACCCTTGGCATACAGACGGCTTGACTTACAGACTTTTTGACTTGAGAACCGCCTTCCAATACTGATTAAGTTCTCAAGTCAAGACCCCACTGTAAAAGCACTAAGAAATTGGCTGATCCCTTGAGATCCCATAATAGAGGTTCAAAGAGTGAAGAACACCTCCCTAAGCAGTACAATCGGGGACTGGCCCTTGAGGAAGGACTAGAACCACCAAAAAGCAAAACCCAAGTCCCAAACTCAGTAGCCATGGTTGACAGTATCAAAGGCCGCAGATAGATCTAGGAGGATCCTCCTGCCTGCCTGCCTCAGGAGAACATCTTGCAGGGCAACAAATGCCATTTCAGCCCCATGGCATGGCCTGAACTCCAAATGAAATGGATCTAGGCTATCCCATTTACTCCAAGAACACCTGCAGCTGGTCAGCCACCATCCTCTCAATCAACTTGCCTAGGAATGGAATGTCAACAATAGGCATATACCTATAAGTGTCTTGTCCACATCCTCAGGTCACACTAGCTAAAACTGATCCAATTTAACCCGACTAGACAGTGCATTGAACATCTCTGTCAGATCTTCAAGGAGTTAAGGTCACAACATAAGTATAGTCTCCAAACCAATAAAGTACAAACTCCACTAAATAAAGTACTATTTGGCACTGCTTAGGCCTCATCTTGAGTACTGTGTCCAGTTCTGGACACCACACTTCAAGAAGGATGCAAACAAATTGGAACAAGTTCAGAGGAGGGTGACAAGGATGATAAAGGGGTTGGAAACCGAACCCTATGAGGAAGGAGTGAAAGAACTGGGCATGTTTAGCCTTGAGAAAACAAGACAGAAGTGTGGTATGATAACATTTTTCAAATACTTGAAAGGCTCTCATAGAGAGGAGGGGCAGGATCTGTTCTTGATCAACCCAGGGTGCAGGACACACAACAGCGGGCTCAAGTTACAGGAAGCCAGATTTCAGTTGAGTATCAGGAAAAACTTCCTAACCATTGGACCAGTACAGTAATGGAACCTATTTCCTCAAGAGGTGGGGGGGGGTCTCCAACATTGGAGGCATTCAAGATAAATTTAGACAAACATCTGGCAGATATCCTTTGATTTGTATTCCTGCATTGAGCAGAGGCTTTGATGGCCTTATAGGCCCCTTCCATCTTCACTATTCTGATCCGTTCATAGAAAAGATGTTCTTTAAAAAAAACCTTGCACTAGGGACATGAAATGGTGCAGAACCCTGATCAAAGCACTTCTGTTTAACTGGATTCATATCTAGTGTAAGATTCATATCTAGTGGAGTAAGACATGAGAGGGGACAGACTATAGGCAGGATGAGCTTAGCCTGTGAACTGCCTTGTTGTTAAAATTGGACTCTTAACTTTTAGAGTGAAGAGGCTGGTGACTCTAATGTGGCCCCAAGCCTTCTGAAATGGATGAGCTAGCTGAAGGCAATAGATTTCAAAAGAGGCATGTTTGGAAAATACAAGGGTCAATTAAACCCTTTAAATTCCATAGTTACTATTTGTCAAACATGTTTGGCTCATGATCAGATTACAGTTACGGCTTTACTTTCATGGCCTTGCTTTTTACCTCTTTATAGTAGAGGTAGGTTTATCATAGGTAGGTTTGATGACTTCCCTCCCATGTCTGTTGAAGAACAAACAAAACAAAGTACAAGCTGACTAGAAACAAAAAAAGAACAGATGGAAAGGAGGGCAAAAGGGTTTGTCACTCAAGTAAGCTCTAAAATTACAAGTATTTAATTTAGCTCAGTTGCAACCCATGGTAGAGGTTTCCTTTCTGTGAAACTGAAGGTCCTGCATTAGTTGTGGTGGAAACTTGAATCAAAAAACCAAAGGGTAGACAGTGGATTACAACAAGTGTCTCTAGTCTTTCTGAGAGACTTTAAAATAGTTGTGAGAGCAACCTCGCTTTGTAGAACTGTGATAGGCAATGAGTGGACCTCAAGATATTGTTGGACTACAGTTTCCATCAGCCATAACTAGCATGGCTGATATTGTATGTGTTACATGTTATCTGATCAGAACCAATTTATAAACACCCTAATAGGGTTTTAAAGTAAATGAGATATTTAAGGAGTAGCTTTGCCAGTTCCACATACCCTTCCTCATGTGAGTTTCCATGGTTGAGCAAGGATTTAAACGCAGGGCTCCTGTATCCTAATTTGCTACTCTATCCACTGCACCACACTGGATCTCAGCATAGTGAGGGATAAATGGAGTTGCAGTCCAGCAACACTTGGAGATCCATAGGTCACCCACCTTGCTTTAAAGGCTACAATGTCCAATTTGCCTAGACTTTTAAAAAATTAATCATGCTGTCTCAAATACTACTGAAATAAAATAGAAACAGAATCAGCCCTACAATTTACATGGAGTGAAGTGGATATCTGAAGTAGGAGATTAGGTATGACCTGAAAATGTGGACAGTTGTCAATTATTTAGCACTACTGTCTACCAATGACAGGAAGAGGGAGATTAATTTGTGGGATTTTCCAAGATGCCAGATTAACTTGACTGACCCTCTGGTGTCATGGTGGGTGAGAAGGGTGCCTGCTTTATCTCAGGCAGCAAGGTATCTTGGGCTGGCTGCTGACTTTGAACATAAAAGAAAAGCTTCATTTTATTTCACAGGATTGTGAGTGACTGATAGGCAGTCAACAGATAAGTGTCCGATGGAAGTGTCTCCCCTTTGTTGTACAAAGCAGTTTTGGGTGCATTTTTCTTTGAGAAGAGGAAGACTTCTTTCTGCTCATACACAATTAGTTTTGCACTGAGTTGAGTTTTTTGTTAAGCATTTCTTCCTGGCTTCTATGTTGCTGCTGCACTGGGGGGAACTATCTAATCTGTATTTATAGATTATATATTAAGTTTCCCCAGTTAAGAAACAGCTACCATTTTCAGCTGACCTCATTCTTCCACAAAAACTAGTTCATTTATTTTAAAAAAGGATGTTTTCTGATACAGACTATTAGATTTCCACTCCTTAATGCATTTTCTGTATAAGGTAGGAGGTGGAATTAATAACATAAAAACAAGGGACAGTTGCAAATGGATTGCGCTCTCAAGGCCTTTAAAACTGAGGGTTGAACTAGACAATGTACTGAGCACGTACAACTAGGACTCTCCAAGTGGCTTGCCATAGTATACGTTTTTACTCAACTCTGTATCCCGCATTCCACCATCCTTTGTTTTGTGACTGATTATTAGAAAGTAATCTCGGGCTTAATTTGCAAGTCTCAATTGTTGAGGTATGTATGCCTGAGGATATTATGCTGTGAGAGGAAAGACAGGCAAATCATAGGGTATTTGTTTTTCTACTAGACAGGATGATGGCATGATTAAAAACCTTATCTGGAACTACTATTATCTGGTTATAATGTTGTTTTTGTTTTGAAATAATGTATGTTGCATGAACATATGGTTTCACAAGTGTCTATCATTTAATTTGTATGAAAAAGCCAGTCTAGAGATCATTGCTACCCCTAACATATTTGTTTTTATATTATAGAAGCTACTAATAACGAAGAGTGACTCATGGCTTCTGACTGGACTTCATTTTTGGCTGTGCAAATAACATTAATACTGCAATATCTTGGTCTTTATAACAGCTTGTATGGACTTGCCACAATGATTGAACTCTAGGTGGAAAACATTTTAAGGATAGCATTTCAGAACGTCACGTTGCCAAGACACCACTATGGAATTGCAATGTTAAGCCTTCAGTTCTGCCAGAGTGACTCCTCCTGTCAACTTTAAAGAGAATTATGTGTTATCAAATAACTTTGCTTTTCAGCTAAAAAATTACATGTCAGGGCTCATTTAGAACTACATAAACAATATAAAGCATGCAACTGGATGCAGGTGACTTTACATCTTGCATTGAATGCTGGAAAAATCTGTATGGTCTGAAGTAGGATAGGAATCATTTTGTCTTCCAGCCATACATTATTGGATTGTACCAATAAAATAATTCTGTGAAGTTATCTAATAAATACAAACCTATACTACTGGAACTTAATACTGTTGCTACAGTATAATCTGATAAATGCATCAGTTCACTTTATCTGAAACTAATAAATATAACCCTTGCAATCCTGAAAACACTTGTGGAGTGAGAACTAGCATGAAATGATGGAACTGTGAAGTTGTGCGATATGTCTGCTGATGAAACAGATATCATTTACCCTTTAAGAATCATTGGTTTTAAAGTAGTATGCTATACACACTATACTTTACTGTCATTGAGATGGGTTGTAAAACTGTGAGAAATGTTTAATATTAAAAAAAATCAAGATTCTAATCATTAAGTCATAGTACTCTTGCCAACATATATTACTGGTACCTAAGGAATTACTTTCAAGTGAGTTACTGCTACTGCAGTATAATTATACATTTTTGGAATGCTTTCTAGATTTCCTAAGTATGTGTGAATTCTATTTACTTTTACAAATTAATTTTGACTGTAAATATGATAAATGAATCGTTCGGTGCTTTCAAGTGTTTCAAAGTTGAACAGTGAGAGATTTCACATTCAGGAAATGTATAGCCCGGTAATCATTCAGCATGTGATTCTACAGGACTTTTCTGTATGCAACCATTGAACATGATCATCTTCACCCATCTTGTGTCTGAGCCAGTGAATCTTTATTCTGCATCAGCAGAGGTAGGATATGGTTGACTCATATGCATTTTCAAAGTCTATGAAATGTAATTGTAACCACCAAAATAAAGAAAATGCTTAAGGAGCATCTGCGTGATGTGGAATAAAGTAGAAAGTAATAGGGCAATCCTGTGGAACAGGGAGAAGCTGAAGTTAAGGCTCACCAAAACACTACAGTGGTGCTTCGCTTGACGAGGATAATTCATTCTGTTGAAATCGCTGTTAAACGAAATCCTCATCAAGCGAAACAAAAAAGCCCACTGAAATGGGTATTTAGCCCATTGGAACGCATTTAAACGTTAATTTTTGGTGAATTCCCCCCCCCCATTGAAATGCATTGAACTGTCGGTTTGACAGCTGTCAAACAGACAGTTCAATGCATTCCAGTTGGGGGGGGGTATTCACCAAAAATTAACAAAAAGTCAGAACAAAGCCAAATTAAGTTTGCAAAGGTTTAACAAGGTGCACTAACGTTTCCAAGCATTTAAAACAGTTTTTGAACATTTTAAGACACTTAAAAAATAGCGAAAATGGACATCGCAAAACCATTGAAATGCATTGAATAGGCTTCAATGCATTCCAATGGGGGAAACATTGTTTCGCTTAGCGATGTTTCCTATGGTGATTTTCACTTAAGGACGGTAATCCGCTCCCATTGGAATGGATTATCTGGTTTTCAATGCATTCCTATGGGAAATGGTGTTTCGCTTAGCGATGTTTTCCCATAGTGATGTTTTTTTGGAAACAATTAACGTTGTTAAGCGAGGCACCACTGTATACTCCTTGACTTTTTGTCCATTCTTCCACCTCGTACATCCGTTTCTTTGGGATTTTATTCATGTCTTTATCATGTACTTCAAAACAATATGGCAATTCCCATCCACCCACCCACCTCGAGGTTGTACCATATATTTTCCTGTTGATCATTATTGTCTTAGGAGATGGAGAAGCTGAGATCATGCAGCATGTTTGTGGCCAGTGGGGTTATGTGTGCAGCCACATGTGTGGTCTTGGCAAGGTGCACATACCCAGAGCACTACCAGATGGAAGAACTGATAGACCATTTCCAAGTACTTTATACCAAGAATTGCTGGAAGAGTTGACATAAGTAAAATCTTATTTGAGAGCACATAAATTATTTTTATGTCACATCCATTTATTTAGTCACTCTAGCCCATAATCATTTTGTTACTATATGACATGGGGAAGACAACAAATCTGAAAAGGTTAACATCTGCTATTCATAAAGCTTTCCATGCGAGTCAGAACCCTGCAGAGTTAGAGGCAGGCAAGGATAGAGCATCCTCTTCCCATCTGCATAGAGAATATGCCTGAATTTCAGACAACTGAAACGGATATTCATCTCAGCATTATGAACTTTTTCACAACTGCGTACACTGTTTCTTCTCCCATCTCTGTCTGTTCTAGTTGTGAACAAGGTAAACTCTTCAATTGCTGTATTCTAGTTAGGGACTCTGCAAACCAAGTTTCAGTAAAAGTGGTCAGATCATACCTAACATTTTTTTTAATTAGGCCTGCTGACAACTAGCTATCCTTAGGACTTTTAGTGCCATAATCAAAGGGACAAAATATTTTTACAATATTTTAAATGTATTTTTGTCTCTTAATAGATGTTAGAAAGTGCACAGACAACTCTTAGAATTTTCACATAACCTGTACTAATGAGAAGCCCACGTTGATGCTTGGGAAACAAATCTACAAAGCTCTTCAAGCATAAATTTTTGAAGCACATTTGCCAGGTTTGGTTTATATGAATAACTCTTACTGAGATCATTTGTAAGGCTACTAGGAGCCACAGGTTTGAGTATTCAAGAGCTGAGCAAGTCTGTTGAGGGCAATACATATTGGGGAGGGGGGAGGTTCACCGTAAGTCGGAGACGACTTGATGGCATGTAACAACAACAAAGCAAGCTAGAATATGCAATTTTATTTGGCGGTGTTGAATAGACTTTTGACTAGTGGCTCTCAGTTAAGCTAATGAAATGGTACCAGCTTGATCTCCAGTGGGTAAAACTGACTGCTGCAACAATCCAGGATTTCTACTTTGGGAAGTTCCACTTGGAGATTATGAAAACATTAACACTAGGCAAAGAAGTATGAAACTTTATGAAACTGGTTTATTAGTTAACATTCCTCCTGAACATTTAACTTCTAGTCCCATTCATGGTTTTCTTCAAAATATTAAATCCCATACAACCTTAATGATAAAATGGGATGGGTGCCAAGAGGGAGGGGGCTCTGTGTAAGTAGTATCACCTATCAGAAGACCTCAGTTGGGTTTCCATTCCTGAAGACAACTAGTTCTGGAAAGAAGCCAGTGGAGAGAACTGGGCCCTACAACAAGTGAGATTGAACCATAAAAAATACAGAGGCACTAGGTTTATAGTCATGCTGAGGCATCCTGGAGGGGTCCATGGACGGCAACAGCTTCTATCTCAACACGTGCACCCTGTAAGAAAGAAGTCAACTTCATTAGAAAATCAATTCATGATGCAGATGTCCTGTAATGATTGTATAAACACACCAATAACCTCCCAACAAATCTGATGTCAGAAAAGATCAGAAACTCATAGAATCCAAATGGTTCTCTCCAGTGGGGCTTTGTGGTAGCTGAGAGCACTTCTGTCCATAAAAAACTGTATACCATTAGTGCAAAAATGTTAAGTGAATACAACCACAATTTCCACGGGAGCTGTATACAGCACTAGACCAGCGTATAATAATAATTTTATGTTGCTAAGTTAATTTTAAAACATGGCGACCTTTCCCAGGGTTTTCTAGGCAGAAAATAAATAAAAGTGGTTTACCATTCCCTTATTCTAGGGGTGCCCTGGGACTCTGCAGCTTGCCCATAACTACACAGGCTGACCCTTCTTCCAGGAGGAACAGCAGAAAATCAAACTCTGCAGCTAGATACCTAAACCACTGAAAAAAAACCAATGATACCACTTTTCCTTGACTAGATGAGCCTGTGCGGAATACTGTTCAGGGTATGTGCTTATAAAGACTTGCTTCTAGTAAAGCCAGGAAGTGTGTGTGCTCTGTATTAAACTGTCTGCTTGGAGCCTGTTTTCATGAAAGTACAGTTCAGACCACTTAAAGGAATCAACATATTAGAGTACACTTTGCTCTGTATTAAAATGAAAGGAAGACTTGCACAGGAAATCATTTATTCAAAACAAATTCCTTGGAACAAGCCTCTGTAGCAGACAGACCTTGATGTGGTAGCTGTCTGTGTCTTAGTCACAAAATATCGGAACGGGTATTATGGTAGTAACTCCACAACCTAATGAAGGCTAATTCAGTGTACAGCTCCTTTTTGGGGAGGTATCTGAAACCTCTCGATTGAATGCAGTTGTTTATACATAATTTAGAATTCTGTATTCACAAAGCAACTATTAAAAAACATACATTTTGATACTATGGGGAAAAAACAAGAACATTGTAATAAAATGAAAGTTTTCTTTTAGCACTTCAAAAGCTATATTTACTGTGGCATGCATCTGTGTGGATTAAAGCTCATCTTGTCTGATACACCACTGTTACCCTCAGAGATTTTAGTTATTTACATACAGAGAAATTGTAAATCGTAGACAAATGGTCATGTAATCAGAGACCTGTCTAGGCATATTTGTAAAGCTTAAACATGCACTGCAATTATTCAGAACAACACTCTTGTCACTGTAGAATGCAGAACTGCCAGACAATGTACCCCTTGTATTTCATGGCCACTTGGCTCCTCTCTACAGTCCTTCATACTTCTATGTACGAACCAAAAACTCAAAAGAATAATGTGCATTTGGGGACATAGATAGCCTAGTCTGCAGAAGCCAACAGCACAGAAGCAAGTGAGTTAGTCTTTAAGGCACTACAAGACTTTGAGGCTGCTATCCACTTACTTGAGAGGAAGCCCCAGTGAACTTATTAGGACTTGCTTCAGATTAGAGAAATATAGGCTTGTACTTCAATAGGCAATGCAAATTCTTTAAAGCCCTTACATCTAAACAAGTTTATGTTCAAGAAACAGACAAAATACATTTTGTAGAAATAGAAGACAAACTTACTTTTGGAAGAGCAGCAACTTGATAAGCTGCTCTGGCTGGAAAGTTGCATTTGAAAACTGCATATAAAAAGAGAGAAATTTTCATGAACATTTTGATCACACCAGACACAGTTTTTTCTTCTCTTGTGCTAAACATCAACTAGTTCAAATAAGGTAGAATAAGCCCCCAATTATGCACCAGAATGCAAGTGCGCTCTGTGTGCAAGAAATGAATTCAGGACTCTAGGAATTGGAAGTTCCTTTTCTGAGAGCACACTTCTAGATCTCTCACATATATCAGAAAAAGTAACAGACGCAAAAGCAAAAAGCAAAGTGTAATGTTTATATACTGCCCCATAGCATTTAAAGCACTCTCTGGATGGTTTACAGTTTAATTATGGAGGCTACACAGGCTGTACTAGACTCCTTAAGTTTAGTAGCTGTGGCTTTATTTGTTTGAAAAGAACCCTGAAACTTTTAAAACCAAGTTACATCAGTATCCTGGTAAGTATTATCTGGATTTTTAAAACCCACAGTTTTGGGCATTTTGCTTGGTCCTAACAAAGGGACTGACCAACTGTTCACTTTTTAAACTCAGGCACTGTGATTTTTTTTCTTTTCTCTAGCTAAAATACATTTTTACATTTAATATATCCAAATATGAAACCTTAAGGAACAAACTAAGTTCAACAGGATACATTTTGTTTGCATTTATAAGACATACTAAAATTAAGTATAGGACAACCAATGCGGTGTAGTGGATATAGTGATGGATCAAGTTTCTAGAATCCAGGGATCGAATCCCCTCTCAGCCATGGAAACTCACTGGGAGTGTGGAGCCGGTAAAGCCACTCCATAAATATCCCACTTACTGTGAAAGCCCTATTAGGGTTGCTGTAAGTCAGTTCTGAGTTGACAGCCCATATCAATAACAAAACTAAGTATACAGTAGCTTGCCTCATTTTCTCCAGAATTTCAATTCCTCCTATTCCCCCTCCTATCAAAAAACATGTTTCTTTTAATGACTTCAACATTTCTGTATAGGAACCCAGTTTGACACTCAGATATTTCATTATCTTTGGGCCAACCTGAACATTAGGATACTAGGGCATTCTGTTACATCAAATAACTGGAGCAGCCTTTCTATACTGATGCTGCAATGAATGTCACCTCTTGCTTGCAAGATGCAGGATCTGGATCAGACAAGAGTTTGAAAGAGTTATTGTTTTACAGTAGAATTCCTAACATCTTCCAGCTGACATGCAGTCTCAAAAAGTTACTTTCTGAAACTCTAATAATTTATTGTACATTAAATGTTTATACTGCCCATCTAGTGGCATGTCACTACTCTGCGCAGTTTACAAATGTGAAACACAAATGTAAGAACCTAACCCCCCATCCCAAAATAATCTAAAAACAACCCCATAAAAGAGCCTGTGATAGCAACGATGGACACAAACAGAATCAAGGTATAACATAAATACAAACAATTATAAAGGGAGGAAATTGCAAAAATCTTTAAAAAGCAACGTTTTTATTAACTTTTGAAATATTTCTTGGCGCACCTCCACCTGTAACACACTCTGCAAGGAGGTGGCCACTGAAAAGGCGTGGTTCCTGGTCATAAACTTTTAGGACTCCTTCCGGGTGGCCACCTGCATCATCAAAGCTTGGGAGAAGCATGTGGTACAGGTGGAAAATCTCAAGGAGAGGCGCTCCAACAGGTAATGAGGTCCCAAACCATTAAGGGATTTGTATGTCAACATTAACACCTGGAATTTGACATGGAAGCACACAGGCAATCAGTACTGTACTAATTAACCAGGATGGGGGAAGATACAATTATATCTCAAAACACCCAAAACCAGCCTGGCTACAGCATTTTGCACCTGTTGCAGCTTCCATACCACCTTCAAGGGTAGTCCTACGTAGAGAGCATTGCAATAGCCAATCTTCAAGATTACTAATGCATGAACTAGTGTTATTGTGGAATTCCTGTCTAGGTAGGGCCACAGGTGTGCAATCTTCACAGGTTGAAGAGAGGCAGATCCGGCCATGGTCAAGATCTGTTTCTCCATCAACAGTGCATACTCAAATTGTGGGCCTGGTCTTTCAGGGGGAATGTAATCCCATCCAGGCCTGGTAGGGAACCTCCTAACCAATCAGGGTCCCCTTATAACAACAAGATCTCCATCTTGTCAGGATTCAACTTCAACCTGTTAGCTCTCGTCCAGTCTGTAACTGAGGCCAGATAATGCTCCAGAGTCTGCACGGCTTCCCCCGCTGAAGATTAAAAGTAGAGAGTGAGCTGCATGTCATCAGCATATTGATGACAGCACACTCCAAATCTCTGGACGAGTTGCCCCATCAGCCTCATATAGATGTTGAACAGCTTTGGAGAGATGATTGATTCTGGTGAGACCCCACACTGATTGAGATTTCCCATGATAGAATGAAGTTTTAAATCTGGAAACCTAATTTTGCTTACTTGTCTTTGCAAAGTACTAAGATTTAGGCTAGACTAAGAGACTAGCCAAGGGTTACCTACTGAACTTCATGGTTAGATAGGAATTGGAACTTGGATCGCCCCAGTCCTAGTTCAATAACAAATACACAAATTACACATACTAGAAACAAAACAACACATTCCCATTGCTTTTTGCCATCATTCACCTCCCCATCCAATCTCTCTCTTATCTACTGATATGTTTTATGTGGAGACCATTTCAGCATGCTTTGCAACTTATGCTTGCAGATGGCAGTAATGTTACACACACCATTGTCTCTACTTACATTGCTTGTAGATTTCATTAACATCATCAAAATCCTTCATATCAGCCATCAGCACTGTAGTCTTTACCACTAGAAGTTAGAAATTGTGAACTATGTAAGCCATGTTCCAAATACTCAAGCTTTTTTAAAAAGTAAGTATAATTAAGGCTTCATTCCTGTGAACATTTCCTTAGAGCCCCACTGAACTCAGGAAGACTTACTCCTTTATAAACCTGTATAGGCGCGTGCCACAAGTGTCTCTCACACTTGTCTCAAGCATTTTATTTCATCAGTTCTACCTACATTCCATACCAAAAAAGTCTGATTTGTCGCAGTTTCCCAGGTACAACAATCCTGCCTTGTTCTGTGCACTTCGCAGAGTATAACTTAATACCAAATGTAGTCACTGATGAGGCAACTTGCTGACATCATACATGAAATTCAACAATTCACGGTATCAGAGGAGCAGAAGTTACTCTTCCAAAAGGAGGTGGTGAAATACACCATCATTAAAATTCTGAAAAACCTTGAAAGAGAGCCCGGGAAGTTGATTATATCAACAGGTTGCTAATATAATCTATCTGTATTAAAAACAGAAATGGGAACTGCAACACTGGGCAAATTTGTAAAAATGCAAAGAACAAAGGGTCTTAGTTGCAATGCAGAAGATAATCTTCACTGCTCTACCTCAGACATTCTAACAAGGTAGAAATTGTGCGTTTTCCCCCACTTCACATGTATGTTACATTACCAAAGTTTACTCACCATTGCCATAGTCACAACCAGCAGCTTTCAGAATTTCTCCAATATTTTGAAGGGCCTTAGGGGAACACAAATGTGTTCTTGTCACTTAAACATGTCCATCATATTCCAAGGACTCACAGAAGGGAGCATTATATATAAGCATATACAATACCATATTAAAACTTGAAACCAGCCATTTATAATGGACTATATAACATTTAAGAAAACTTCAAAGCATCAGGACCCATAAATATAAAAACAAACTTGAATTCCATTAATCAATCCAAATAACTAAAGCAGCTAACATTATCTGAATTGTGATTTCATGTACAAGAACCTTGGAATAAAGGGGGGAAATCCATGTATTCAGGTGACTCATGTGCAGAAACCAAAGTCTAAGTTGAGTTATAAATTCATTGGATCATGAATATGTTACAAAGGTGAGTTTTCAAGTCCTTCAAGACCTCCTCACTAGGTATATAAGTTACCAAATTTGAAGGGGTTGGGAAAGAAGAAAATAGTCCCCCAAAGCTCTGCCTAGGTAACTATTGATCTTCAGCACAAACTGCTAGCTAAGCAAGACAAAGATCATACATAGATCCATTATAAAACAGATTGTCCATGTAATCAGTTTACAGTCTTTCTTCCTCGGCATCGACAAAAGCACTTCTGGAACCCTCAGTGAGGCATGGAGGTCCCTTCTGCTCAGCCTATAGAAAAAAAAATGGGGAACATACCGACTTTATCCCAACTATGCAGGAAGTTACAAGTATGTCATGATTTTTCAAAAGCCAATTAACATGGAATGGGTAGCCAAACAATTGCACCGCAGCTGTTTTTGAACATGCACAAGCCACTTTGTTGAGTTTGGCCCTGCTGCACCAATTGGAAATAGAGACCCTGTCCTGAAAATGACAGCTATTCCAGGAAATCCCTGGGCAGAGTACCCCAATTTACATGTTCTCTGGCAGCTATATGATTAACAGGGTGTGCAGCTATAGGCAGAGAGACCCAACCTATGTGGCCATGGAGACTAGACACTGAAACACCATCCATATCTGAATATAATTTTCAAGCCTAGTGGGCATCCCAGAAACACAAGCTATACAGATAATGACAGTGAGACAAAACTTTACCTGTTTGGCTTGCTCCTTTGCTCCTCCAGGTACAAGCTGCCCACTTGCAGGATCCATGCCTAGCTGTCCTGCGATATACATGGTCCGGTCTACTAACACTGCTTGACTAAGGTTGAACAGCACAGTAAAAAGAAAAAAAGAGATGGAGGGGGAGAAAGAAACGGAGAGATTTAACTTCTGCTTATTAACATCTTGGCTTACTTTTTTAAAAAAACATTTTTTTTATTTCTATAACTATAACAAAAGCAATAAGGTTGAACAGCACAGTAAAAAGAGAAAAAGAGATGGAGGGGGAGAAAGAAATGGAGAGATTTAACTTCTGCCTCTTAACATCTTGGCTTACTTTTGAAAATGGATCGATTTTCCCAAGAGTTCCTGTTTTAAAAAGCACACACATATTTTGTAGATTTTTGAAATTACAAGACAAGGCTTGCTGCATCAGACCAAAAGCTCAGCTTATCCAGCATCCTGTGCTTACAATGGCCAATCAGATGCTTCTAGGAAGTCTTCTGCTGCTGTTTCCTCCCAAACTAGTATCCAAAGACATACTGTTACAGGAGGACAACTATCAAAGAGAGAGACTCAGCATAAAGAAAACCATCTGAAGGAATATGTTGCACCTTCCCACAACAGAGCAATCTCAGCCTTACATTCTATATCTTTTCCACACATATAACTTAATTCTTGGCTTACTTTCGAAAATGGACAGATTTCCCAAAGAGTTCCTGTTTTAAAAAGCACACACATATTTTGTAGATTTTTGAAATTACAAGACAAGGCTTGCTGCATCAGACCAAAAGCTCAGCTTATCCAGCATCCTGTGCTTACAATGGCCAATCAGATGCTTCTAGGAAGTCTTCTGCTGCTGTTTCCTCCCAAACTAGTATCCAAAGACATACTGTTACAGGAGGACAACTATCAAAGAGAGAGACTCAGCATAAAGAAAACCATCTGAAGGAATATGTTGCACCTTCCCACTCCATCACTTTGTTCAAGATCTATGGCTGCTTCTCATGAAACAACAGAAAATCTAGCTTAAAACCAAGACTGACACTTGAAATGTGCAAAGCCAAGTTAGAATGAAAGGGTGCAATCAGCCAGGTTACATCTAGCAACCTCATAGCCTTGCTGTGTGCTGGATTATGAAGAAAGCCAGAGAGTTTCAGAAGAACATCTACTTCTGCTTCATTGACTACAAGGCTGTATATTGTCTCCCTGCTTATTTAACATAAGCAGAATACATCATGTGAAAGGCTGGACTGGAGGAATCCCAAGCCGGAATTAAGATTGCCAGAAGAAATATCAACAACCTCAGATATGCAGATGATACGACTATGATGGCAGAAAGTGAGGAGGAATTAAAGAACCTCTTAATGAAGGTGAAAGAGGAGAGCACCAAAATGATCTGAAGCTCAACATCAAAAAAACTAAGATCATGGCCACTGGTCCCATCACCTCCTGGCAAATAGAAGGGGAAGATATATAGGCAGTGACAGATTTTACTTTCTTGAGCTCCATGATCACTGCAGAGGGTGACAGCAGCCACGAAATCAAAAGATACCTGCTTCTTGGGAGGAAAGCGATGGCAAACCTAGACAGCATCTTAAAAAGCAGAGACATCACCTTGCCAGCAAAGGTCCACATAGTCAAAGCTAAGGTTTTTCCAGTAGCGATGTGAGGAAGTGAGAGCTGGACCATAAAGAAGGCTGACTGCCAAAGAATTGATGCTTTTGAATTGTGGTGCTGGAGGAGACTCTTGAGAGTCCCCTGGACTGCAAGGAGATCAAACCTATCTATTCTGAATGAAATCAATCCTGAGTACTCACTGGAAGGACAGATCCTGAAGCTGGGGCTCCAATACTTTGGCCATATCATGAGAAGAGAAGACTCCCTGGAAAAGACACCGATGTTGGGAAAGTGTGAAGGCAAGAGGAGAAGGGGACGTCAGAGGACAAGATGGTTGGACAGTGTCAAAGCTACCAACATGAGTTTGACCCAACTCCAGGAGGCAGTGGAAGACAGGAGGGCCTGGTGTGCTCTAGTCCATGAGGTCACGAAGTGTCCTACACGACTTAACAACTAAACAACAGCAAATATTAAATACTGGTATCTTGTCTCAATCAAAATACTGTAACATTTTTATCTGTAGATATTTAGTTATGTTCAAAACATATTCTATGAAAGAATCAAAGGCAATGATAGTCATAACTCTATGATATTGGGGAAAGAAATGTCTGAAACATTGGCATCTCGTTAAAGACAAGACAGCAGCATCTCCTTCAAAAGAAGCTGTACTAAAGTGGACTCCAGACAGACAGGGACTCCCTTTTTCCTTTTATTTTTCTCACACTGATTAATCTTTCAATGAAGTTCAGTTTTCCACTAAAGACTGAAAAATGCAACTGGAACAAGTCAAGCCTTGAATATTGATTTATTAAATTTATATACTGCCCCATTTGTGGAAACACTACTCTGGGCAGTTTAAACAAAAAAATAAAACTTATATCCTTCAATGCACCTTAAGAACAAAAAACACATAAAAATACAGTTATACAACATACATTATAACCACAAATCACCCTTTAAAGATATAGATTTTTTTAAAGGGAAAAAGTAATTATTGATAGCATCCCAGAGATTCAGTTATTAAAGGCAGCTTTAAATAAGTCAGTCTTTACCAATTTTCACAAAATAAGAAGGGAAACAGTCCTGCTTATCTCTGCTGGCATTTTGTTCTTGAGACTAGGGGCCACAGTCGAAATGGCACAATTCCTTGTTTTGCCTTGGTCTCCCTTGGTGTGGCCACTTTTAATGGCATGAATTGAAAGGAGATGATGGGATGGATAGAATTACAACAATTTATTCGACAGCTATTTTTCACATGAGAGATTCAAGAAAATTTACATATATTAATTAATGTTCTTGAGCAGAGAGAATTGCAAATGAATGAAGTGGGGATGAATTTGGATGTCAACCAAACTAAAATGTCGCAAAGGGTACAAAAAGCTATGATGCATATTTAACTGGCTGCTTAAACAAAGAACATTTCAGAAAGACTGAGCTCAGCCAAAACCCACAACAGAAGTTGTCAAATCAGTGAAGATATCACATTGACATGAACCCTCTTTTCATACACATGAATAGAATTCTTAGAACTAATTGCTTTTAACAGGAAAAAAAATCTGGCAGCAATTGTAATTTGGTATTCAGTTTGAATTTTTAAAACACAATCTCTTTACACAGTCACGAAAGTATAGACCTGGTGTACATGCGATGAAACAAATTTTCAAAATTTCAATTTGCTCCACATTTTGGCCACCATGGCAGGTGAGAACAATACACACAGGAAAACAGGACATTGGCGGGACTCCCTGTCCATTCTTGCTCAGTGTTGCTGCTCCTACCGTGTTACCCCAAAAATAAGACAGGGTCTTATATTAATTTTTGCTCCAAAAAACACATTAGGGCTTATTTTTAGGGGATGTCCCCCCATGTACAACAATCTACATTTATTCAAATACTGTCATGTCATCATCTTCTGGTTGCTATACAATGGTGGAGGGTGGGGTTTTTTTTAACACAATCTCTTTACACAGTCATGAAAGTATAGACCTGGTGCACATGCGATGAAACAAATTTTCCAAATTTCAATTTGCTCCACATTTTGGCCACCATGGCAGGTGAGAACAATACACACAGGAAAACAGGACATTGGCGGGACTCCCTGTCCATTCTTGCTCAGTGTTGCTGCTCCTACCGTGTTACCCCAAAAATAAGACAGGGTCTTATATTAATTTTTGCTCCAAAAAACACATTAGGGCTTATTTTTAGGGGATGTCCCCCCATGTACAACAATCTACATTTATTCAAATACTGTCATGTCATCATCTTCTGGTTGCTACACAATGGTGGAGGGTGGGGTTTCACTTAATGGGGGCGTATTTTTGGGGCAGGTCTTATATTATGAGCATCCTGAAAAATCATACTAGGGCTTATTTTCAGGTTAGGTTTTCTTTTCAGGAAAACAGGGTATTAACACCAGCACTCTTTGCTATGGGGTCTCAGTTGACATTTGCTACCTGATTCTCCAAATACTGGTATGGGGGACTGAACACAGGATGTTTGTTTGTAAAGTATACTATTTAAATGCTATTAAAGGTAAAGGTTCCCCTTGACAACTGAACATAGGATGTTTGTATGTAAAGTATACTATTTAAATGGCATTGAATCGAGTTGCGTCTGACTCTAGAGGGCGGTGCTCATTACTGTCTCCAAGCCATAGAGCCAGCATTTGTCCGAAGATAATCTTCCGTGGTCACATGGCCAGCGCGACTAGACACGGAACGCCGTTACTTTCCCACCGTGGTGGTACCTATTTATCTACTTGCATTTTTATATGCTTTCGAACTACTAGGTTGGCAGGAAATGGGACAAGCGACGGGAGCTCACTCCGTCGCGTGGATTCGATCTTATGACTGCTGGTCTTCTGACCTTGCAGCACAGAGGCTTCTGCAGTTTAACCCACAGCACCACCATGTCCCTGACAAAATGCTATTAAACCATGGCACATTTGAGATATCTGAAGTACATGGCAGTGCTTCCCAGAAAGATGTGTTTATATTGAATTTCTTTTAAATGGTTTCAAAACAGCCGTAATGCACAATGCAACTGGCTTTGCTTGTAATCCTCCACAGTTTCCTTGAGTAGGGCCTGTTGAGCTCAGTGAGTTTCATCTCTAAGAATAGGTACAGTATATTGAATTGCACTCTTCAGGAAGTTCAAAAAACCACACAAAAGTTCAAAATGCGCATTACCTGTATGTGTTGTGTGTACCTTAATCATAATCCTTTATGATACTTGTTTTTTAAAAATGAATTTATTACCTCAGAAATGATTTGTAAAAATAATAAATCCATCACAATTAATATTTAGTTATTATGTATAGTTATCACTTAGCTATCACTTTCAGTGACCTCTACATAGACTTATTTCTCAACCAAAGTTGATGCAGTGCACACTTTTGGAAAAGCCTGCAGTCAGCTAAAAGTTATTCATTGACTTCGGATTGCAGGTTGTTGTGTAATATAAGGATTTATTTTGTTGAAAGTAGAAAGTGAGAAAGAATGAATGCAAATGGAAATGTAAAAGATAAAGTATCCGTAGAGTTTATATATAAATCATAAAAGGTCTGTCTCCCTTCTGATCTTATGATTCACACTTGCACTGGTTACAAACAAATATAGGAACTCTCAAAAACAAAACACTTCTCTCCAATTCTAAATGATTTTAATTTCCACTACTGGTCAGACCTGAGACACCCCACCCAAAAGGTGAAAACATTATGTAGCATAAGCACTATAAGTTTATATTACTTTTCAGTTGATGTTAGACTGCAGTCTTCATGTTGACTCAAAGTAACCCAAATTCATTTCACCTAACCTAACTCTCATGTAAATGCATAGAATAGTGCAGTCTTTTGCTTTAGACTGCAGTCTTATTCATGTTGACTCAAAGTAACCCGAATTCATTTCATCTGACCTAACTCTCACGTAAATGCATAGAATAGTGCAGTCTTTTGCCTCTCCATCAGTAGCTCTAATTTCTGAGAAAGCAGCATAGGACTGAACGGTTTACAGCAACATACTGTACTATACACCTCTACACAGAAGTTTCATGAATAGGGTTTAATTCCAGCTAAGTGGGATAAGACCATGGCCTTAGTCCCGAAGATAAGGTACTAGGGAGAATACGGGGCACTGTTACAGAATTTCTGCAGATTAAAGCCCATACTGCTACTCTTTTTACCACATTTCATCCTTGACTTAAGCTTCCTGGTCTTTCAGCCACTATAAGACTCTGTATGCATGTGTGTGTTTATGCACACAAGACGTCTAAAGCCCTTGCATTTTTCTAAACTTTTTGTCTAATATGCAATAGCTATACAACTCCACCTTAACAAATGATCCTTGCTTTGCCATCACTTCATCGTTCTTTGTACCACCGCAGCTGCAATGTATTAACAGTGTAACAATGGTCCCATTACCTTAAAAATATATGACAAATCAAAAATCTGCCTTAGTTAGCCTCCTGTCCCACATCAGCCCACCAAGATGCCTGTTTGGCAGGGAGAACTTGAAAGCCACCCCCCCCCAATTATTACTCTGCCCCTGATCAGGGAGATAGGATTTCCGGGGGGTGGTAGGACTGCTCGTCTGTTCCAGCAAAAGCAGTCTTGGGACACCTTAAAGACTCACAAATCGAGTCCCTGGAAACTTAAACACGTTAGTCCTTAAAGTACTAAAAGCCATTTTGGTGGCTTTAGAAGTATACAATCCTAAATTGCAACTGTGGACAGATCGGATTCTGTGAACAGCTGCAGCCCCCAGGGAAAGCACTGCAAATTGTTCGCCGTCTTGTGGCAGCGAGTTCCCCAGGTGAGCAATGCGCTCTGCACGTCAGCCGTACCTGTAAGGCCCTATAGCAGCAGGAGCCTTCGCAGTGCTGATAATTTTCTTCACTAACGTGGCCATGGCAGCCGGTCCAGAGGCACCGATCACCGAACTGACCAGCGAACGAAACCGGTGCCTCTCCGCTCCTCAACTTTACCTGCCCACTGGCCCCGCCTCGAAGTCGGCCCCGCCTCCTTCCCCGCCCCGCCCCCCCCGCGAGTCAACTTTACGCCTCGCCCCTTACAGCCCTTCGGCTCCGCCCACCCAAAACGCGCGCGATTTTTCCGGTGGCCTTCTTTCGGTGGAAGGCTCCGCCCACCCGACGGCCTCTTGTCGCGAGGGATGATGGGGGATGTAGTCAAAGGGCCCAGCCGGGATGGCGAGGCGGAAGTGGTTCCGTCGTCCTCTTTGGCGGAAGTGGGTGCCGCGCGTGGAAGGGAGCGCGGTCTTCTGTCCTGAATCGTTGCGAGGGAAGCATCCTCCGGGCTTGCTCTCCGACGGCAGGCTCTTCAGGACCAACGCGGCGCGCCGCTAGGCTTCTCAGGTAGTGTTGGCGGCGTTGGGAGCGAGTCCGGGCAGGGCGTTTGTTTGTTTATTTATTTTAAATATTTTTATCCTCGTCTTTCTCTCTTATAAGGCGGTTTATAACAGTGGGAAACAATATCTCAAACAAGGAATTTTCACTTCGTTAAAAGACGGTATTTAAAAATTACGAGCAATGAATAAGGAGACGTCTTACATCAGTTAAGCGGCAACGTTAAGGCAAAGATCAATAAGTACACAAAATTTTTTTAAAAAATGTCACTCTTAGAAATGGAGAACACAAAAAATTGGAAAGCACAAGCACAGTAGAACTAACAGTCCAGTCAAAGCAGGGGAGGTGCACGAGTTGCATGGCGGAGGGGAGAGCGCGGTAGGCCCCCCTCGGTTTGGAAGGCCACGTGCTTCCTAACCTGCAGGTCACTGTTTATTTAGCAGCTCCCTTCCGAGCAGAATGCCTCGGCATTTAAGCATTATTAGTCGCTCCTGCGCCCCCTTACCTCCGACTGTCATTACGTGCGGGGGATGGGAATAGGGAAAGAGGGATTGTTCTTGTTGGGTTTTTTTTTTAATGTTGGGTGAAAAATTGAAGGCTGCTTTCCAGTGCATGCAGCCACCTATGTGCAAACTGGGCAGTTTGTCACTGGGGAAAAGCATGACGTGTTGGCCTTTGCATGGTGTGCACCCTTGGTCGCTGCGTCTTGTGTCTTGGAGCACCTGAAAGTGGGCACCAAAGTTGTGCAAAATAGAAGATGTTAGTCTTTAAGGTACTAGAAAGTTCCTTAGTTCTTTTACTTCAACAGATTAACCTAACTGATTTGCCAAAGTTGATCTTGTGTATTTCTTTTAATGGCATCTGAAGCCTTCAAAATAGCCAGCAACAACAATAAAGCATCAAATATAAAGCAATGCATGAAATTAAGATGCAGTATTTTTGTAGTTTTGATTTTAGTGCAGTCCTTTCAAATCCATATTGTGACTACCGTGATGCTACACAGATTAAAGTGACTGCAGAAAAGCTACCCCGGCCTTATTTTTCAGCCTATTATGTCCTTGTTGCTGCTTTCTCTTGATCTTATTGCTCGCTGTTATATAGCACATATTGGTATTTCAGGAGAGGTGATGTGCAGCAGGGGTAAGAGGTACATACTTACTCAGCATCTAACTGTGCCATGTTGGAATGACTCCACAGAAATGCAGGAGAGCAGAAGAGAAGAACTGTCAATAACATAAAAGTCAAACATTGCTGAAGTTTTGTGTTGCTTCTTGTGTGTTCATTGTGCTCTGGAATTAAAAGCTTTTGCTATCCAGAAGAGATGGAATTGTATATTTATTACCCTCCCCCCCTTTTAACTGCAGAAATGTCAAATGCGAAAGAGAAGAAAAGGGCTAAGAAAATGAAGAATCAGCCATCTAGTGTGACCTGTCCCTTTGACAGTGGGCCTGGTCATAATGAAGTATACTTTCAGAATGGAAGTGGCAGAACTCCTCAGCACAAGAAACAAGGTAGTTATTACAATTTGCTGGAGATAATTGAACATGAAAAGCAAAGTGTGCTGCTCATATAGCACTTAAAGCACTCTCTGGGTTGATAACATACAGCATTTATGCAAACCTCGCCTTCCCACGCAATCTGGGTATTCAGTTTACCAACCTTGCAAGGATGGAATGCTGAGTTAACCTTGAGCTGGCTACCTGGCATCTTATTGAAAAAAGATCTATTTTAAAAATTCAAAAGGTTTTCTTTATGGGAAAGTAGTTTGAAGATAAAAACGAAACCTGCTGTAAAGGCAGCAGTAGCAACAAGCCCAGAGATGCACTTCTCCTCACCTCATTCTCCTGAACTGACTTATAGAATCTTAGAATAAAAAAAGTTGGAAGAGCCCCCTGCTCAATGCAGGAATTTTAATCAAATTATATCTGAGAGATGATTGTCTAATTTTCTCTGTCTCCTGAGCTAATTGATTACATAGTCATACTGCTCTAACAGGAAGGTTTTTTTTTAAATATTCAACCAAAATCTTGCCTCCTTATTGTTGAGCTCTTTATGATGTCTCCTTGACTCTTGGATGATCAAGAACAGGTCCTGCCCCTCCTCTGTTTGATAGTCTTTCAAGTGTTTGAAGAGTGCTCCCCCCAGCCTTCTTTTCTCAAGCCTCAACCACAGGGCTTGGTTTCCAGTCTCCTGATCATTCTTGTTGCCCTCCTCTGAACTCTTGCATGACTGATGTGTTCTGAAATGAAAAAAATGTGTGTGTCATGTGTTGGGATGTGATTGCTGTAGCCACAGAACTTTAGGTAAGAGGAAATTTCTCTAGAGGATTCTACTAGAAAAGGAATCTCAGTTGCTGAAAAAGTTGGTTCTGCTCATCCTGCTTTTGTGCAAGGGAGTCATACCTGGCCAGCCCAAAAGCTGCATGCAAGATACATTTTTTTTCTTTGTGCGTCCCCAAATGGGATAGAGTTTTTTTCATTCATTCATTCATTCATCATTCATTCATTCATGCGAGAAGTAACACAAAGGAAACTATCTTATATCTGGTCAGACTATTTCCCCAGCATGTCATGTATTGTCCCTTGTGGATGGCAAGGGAGAGGCTCCTCCTTTTGCCTGTTCCTCTTTTACACAGAGCTACCACTTGTGACTTTGTGTGTGATGACAAAGTATATGTTTGAAAAATTATAATCCAAACTCAGACCAGAAACAGTAGAGCTTGGTTTGGCATCCCTACTCTAAGGATTCCTTCAAAATAAGTATGTTTGATTTGAGATACTGCAGCTATCAGAGGTAGCAGGAAATTATTGTTGTTTCTGAAAAGCTCCTTTTCCCCGTCTACGGCCAGAAAAAAAAATATTTAATGAGGTTTTGCAAGGACTCTGGGCTGCTGAGGACCACATACCGTCTAGCCCACTCCTTCTGTATTGCTTACTAGTGTGAATGCTTACAGTAGTGATAATTATGTGGTGTCAAGTCAAATCCAACTGATAGCAACTCCTTCTAGAGTTTTCTAGCTATAAAGAGCTCAGGTTTTCTAGTCCCCCTGGTTGTGCTCTATTACTGCTCAGGTTGCCTAAGGCTGCACAGACGAGCTCTTCTTTCAGGAGACACCGTGTCCTGCAACTCATTGAGTTGTCCAGCCAGCTATAATTTGTCCTGCCAAATCAATTCTGACTCAGATGGGATGCTTACATGTTCATTAATTTATTGATACTGTTCCGAAGTCCCTAAAGCAATGTTTCTGAATCAGATTTTTTCCATAAGAATTGCTATCACCCCAATATCTGGCTTTCTTGAGAATCCTATTTCGAAACACCTTGAGTGTACCACTATGTGGAATGGGGATCCAGGACCTGTGGAATGGGGATCCAGGACCTGACCTGGTATAAATGCTACTTGTGCTGTTTTATTCAGCTTTGGAAATACGTGTTATAGCTGGCTGCTGGAGAACTTCATTTTTGGAAGTATCTTTAAATGAACTGCTGTTACATTTCTATTTTTTAATTTCTATTATTCATTTGGCAGAAGAGACTTACACAAGGGAATGCTATCAGTTTTTACTTTTTCTATGCATAACCAATCAAATAAAAAGTGGCTGTTCACCTCAAATCTTTTAATCTATGGTCATTAGTACTGGTTGTATTTTTGTATCTAAGTTGTAATTTAGTAATTCTACAGGGAAACATGCAATTGTGAATAGATAAATAGGTACCACCTCGGTGGGAAGGTAACAGCGTTCCGTGTCTAGTTGCGCTGGCCACGTGACCACGGAAACTGTCTACTGACAAACGATGGCTCTGCGGCTTGGAAACGGGGTTGGACACGACTGGACTAAATGTCGAGGGGAACCTTTACCTAACAGGGAAATATAAACCTTTATGTTTTATTCACCAACAGAAATGCACTTTGAAACCTCACAGCAGAACTTCTCGAATCAAAAACTTTCTCAGGAAATGCCTAAATTTGTAACAGGTAAGTTTTTGGGTTCAAAGGGCAAAAAAGAAGATCCTAACAAAACACTGGGAAGAAGTTTTCAAACAGGTTGGATGAGACCTTGTGGATAGTCACCCAACCTGTTTGAAAACATGTAGCAAAGAAATGTCCAGTAGCTTCTAAGTTATCCACCAGTTTCTCCATCAAAAAATCCTCTCCAGTCAGGAAATTCTTTCCAATATTTAGCTCTGAATTTCTGCTTTGGCAAGGGGTTCAGTTTCCCTTCTTGCTCTACAGTTCTATGATTCTGTCCATGACCAGGTGCAGTCTTTGCCCGTGTATTTAAATTGTAAATATGTATAACTGACTGATGGCAAAAAGGTCAACTAGGGTCAGATATATCAGTGGGCAGAATCTGACCCCTGTTGACCTTTTCCCATGGGTTAGTGGTGTTTCATGCAAAAAAGATTCCCTGTCCCTGCATTAGGCCATATTTTAGCATGACAAGAATGAATCACAATGAGCATTGACATCCTGCCCTCCTCTTCTCGCATGGCTTGTCTGGAAGGTTTGGCTTTTGGTTTACTTTGCCCTCAGGTTGTTGGTTTGGTTGCACCCAGCATACCACATTTAATCTTAAATGTGGTTTGTTTGAAACAAGGCTACTTCTTGCTCATGGAAAACCGGGCTTACCGTACTTGTCCAAGAGCATCAGCACCTTGAGATTCTTCTGGATATCAGTTGCTGTGAGAGCAATAGCAGGAGAAATCTATTGCCCTCTCACCTGCTCTTGTTTAACTTCCAAGAGCCACTGTGAGAAGCCCAATACTGGACCGATAGACCTTTGATGTGACCCTGTACAGCTGCCTTTATGTTCATATAGAAAGTGTGATAAACAGAATTGTTAAACCTTGTCCACAAGCCTGGTCTGTTACAGCTTATTGTTAATGAAAATGACAGTGTTTGTTTTAAAGACTTGAATGGTTGAATCTTGAAAGCATTTTTACACCCATGTAGCTTTTTGTTCGAAGTCAGATTCTCAATCTAGAGATATTAGTTATTGAAAAGTATGGCATTATTTCTTCTAGCTCTGGTTCAGCATCCACCATGTGCCTGCAAAGTTGGCTACATGCAGTGGTAGCAGATGCGACTAAACAGTATGTTGTGTGATGGTAAGAATTTCTTCAGACCTCATTGCTGCAAGAAGATGGAGAATTCTCTCACTTAATGTTCATTTTGCCTGCCAAAGCGTGGTATCTGAACATGTTCTCTTTTATTTCAGTGTCTCCTTTTGTTCAGGCTCGTGCGGCTGAAATAAAAGCTATGCTGAAGGCTGTTACACAGAAGTCTTCCAATACCTTGGTGTTTCAGTCTCTCCCTAGACACATGAGGAGGCGAGCAATGAGCCACAATATCAAACGCCTACCCCGACGACTCCGTGAACTTGCCAGAATGGAGGTGGTTCTTTACCTTATTTTCCTCACTTAACTGTCTGGTGTAATGCTTTTGTGTGCTTGATAACTATCTTTTCCCTTTTAAAGGAGACTACGTAAGAATGTCATATTTCTTGATCACAAGATGGTGTTAATGCAACAGGGGAAGACAAGCTTCTCAGGGACTCTTTTTCAAAATAGTTTCCTTTATATTTTGCCAGGCAGTGGTAATTATTGCATCTTCAAGATCGTCTCTTTGGTTACAAGAGGTCTCTGCCCTCCACAGTCCCTTTCAGCTTGCTGCTAGAATTATATTTAATTTTAGGCGGTGTATTGAATAGAGTGCTGAACTAGGGCTTCAGAGACTAGGGTTGAATTTCCTGCCTGACAGTATGGATTTGATGTAAACTAAATTGATTTAAATCGTGATTTAAATCACGATTGAAGTTTAAAAATCTGTTTTTTAAATGATTAGATATATAATTTAAAAAATTAAATCGTGATTTAAATCACAATCTAAATCAATGAGATTTTTAAAAACATCATTGATTTTTATCTACCCTGCCACCTGACCATGCAAACCCATGGAACAGGGGTGGGACTGATAAAAACACTGGTTAAATATCTGACCTTCAAACCCTATTCAAGTCACTATAACTCAGTTCCGACTTGGTGATACGTAACAACAACATGCAGTAAACAGTTTAGTGAAAAATATTATCTTTTGTTTACCTTTCACAGGCAGAGAAGCCTGAACATCAGAAAAAGGACCTTCCAAAAAGCAAGTGTCGTAAAGCCAGGCGGCGTCATATGGACTTGGTAGCAGAGTTCAATCGCAGGCAAAAGAAGAATATCTGGTTGGAAACACATATCTGGCACGCCAAACGGTTTCACATGGTGAAAAAATGGGGATACTGCTTAGGAGACAGGCCCACAACCAAATGCTACCGGGCCTGCTATCGGGCCATGACCAGTCACTGCCTCCTTCAGGTATTGTGTCTGTTTATGCATCCGTTCTTGGCAAAGGAAGCGGTTTTAGCTTTAAAATCAAGCTCCCTGGTTGCCATTTTGTGAGATTATTTCCCATAAGCAATGTGTTTCATTATAGCAGGATGAAGAATGTTGAAATATTGTTGGACTGAACTCCCATTATCCCCAGTCAGTGGTCAAGAATGATAAGAATGGAAGACTAGTAATATATGGAGGGCCTTAGGTTTTCTACATCCTTGCCTTGCTGCATTCTGGATCTCCTGCTGTGTGAAGAGAATATGAAAGTAGTTTACCAAATCTGAGCATCATTAGCTTTCAGGTGGCAAACAATATGCTCACATATATGTGATCTAACAACACAAATGGAGAAATCTGACCCTCAGAAAGACGAGGTCTTGAGCTTAAATCAGCTCAAGTCTTTGTAAATTTTCACAGTTTGGAATGCAATACAGAAGGCTGTTGCTCATCAAGATGTAGGATGAGTTTTAATTAGGGCTTCCATCTATATTTCCTAAATGAACATACACTCCTATGGCTATCAATCTTTATTTGATACAGACTTTCATGGACTGTAGCCCACTTCTTCAGAAACTAGTGGGTGGCAGTCCACTAAAGCTTACTACTTTAGCTCTTTGGTTAGTATCCTGATAAGCATTTCATTTGGTCTGACATCCTCTCCTTCACAGTACAAGACATCGGCTGATGGGGAAATTGGTCCCACAACTGATTGCATGTGAAGGAAAAAAAACACTGCACAATTTCCCTTACATGCAAGTCAGTCTTGAGGAGGATTTTGGCTTTAATTGTTTTTGCCGCTGTAGATCAATATGGCTATTCTCTTGGAAGTTTCTTCGGTGCTTGCTGCTTTTCTTCCAATGCTGTGTGGTTTCCATTCTGTGTATTTAGTTTCTCTCCCACATGTGAAAGGATTATATACTTTCCTCCCATCAGAGAGAGCAGTACACCGGATCAACTGTTCTTAAAATTTTGGGAACTAATCACACTCCATAGCTGTAAGATTGTAGTTTTTCCTCTTACTCTTAATATAAATTTTAAAAATAGCTGCTTAAATTGTTCTCAAGGACAGTTTTCCCTACCTGACATCCCAATCTGGCAGCCTTCTGGTATCAGATTTATACCAGCATGACAAAAATCTGCTGGTTCAGAATGATGTATGAGTCTAGCTATGAAGGCATCAGATTGAAGAATGCTAGGTGGCTGCAGTGTGCCAGGGGGCCATCATGTCATAACATTTGTTTTACTTTGTGCGCTCAGTGCAAGGCTTTTAGCTTTTGAGGTCCTTAGTGGCCCCCATTTCAGAGTTTAAAAGCCTTCAATATTGTAATCATTTTCAGGGCAAGGGGAGCTTCCCGGCTCTTTTAATCATTTTGGTGGCCTAATTGTGCCCCTTTTCTCACTCTATAATTATCTCTAGCATGCACAGTCTTCCAGGCATGGGCTCAACATGGATGGGTATAACTGCCTCTCTGCGGGCTTCAGTTAACTTCCGTGAGTTGTCCTGACACCACCTCAAGACACCTTCACTGCAAAGGTGGCAGCTGCACTGTCAATATACTTAATTAGTATTCCCTCTGGATTTGATGTGTGCATGTGTTCCTTCTTGCTTTGAGCACCTTAAACAAGGTTGAAAAGGGTGGCTCACATTTTACAAACCAGCTTTGCGTTGCCACTCTTAACAAGATTGTCTTTTACAGTTTGAAATTCAACAGCTCTTCTTTTATATCAGGATTTATCATATTATTGTTGCCTGGAGTTGATTGGAAAGGAGGAGGAACTTCTAACAACACTTGCTCGAATGTGTAATGTAGATGCAGGTAATATTTTCTCAAAATATTTTAAAAATCATGGCGCTTCTCATTGCTAAGTATGGCATGATCCAACCTGTTCTCTGTAGCTTGTTTTCTGCAGAGGTGTTGACCGAGGGAAAGTGTGTGATGGAGGGCTAAGTACAACTTTGTATAGTTCTGTGCACTCCATTATGTTTCCTATTTCTCCTGTGTGGCCGAATACTTACGTGACAATCGGAGTTAGCCATTTTCCTGTTGGCTATACTTTAGTTGGCTGGATAACTCAGTGGTTTCGGTATCTGGCTGCAGGGCCAGAAGTTGGACGTTCAATTTCCCTCTGTGAGTAGAGCCAATCTGTGTGGCTATGGGCAAGTTTCACAGTCCCAGGATGCCCCCAGAAGAAGGTAATGGTAAACCACTTCTGAGTATTCCCTACCTGGAAAACCCTGGAATAAGTTAGAATTGACTAGATGGCACATGATTAATGTTATTTATACTTGATACAGAGATGAGAGGGGCCTTTTTTTCTTGTTTTACTTTAGCTTCCAAAGTATCACAGTCAGCAAGACCAGTGACTATGCTGCTTGAGACATTCTGAGATTGTATTTTTCAAAAAAGCTATTCGCCATCCCTGACTTCAGGTCTTCTGTAAAGGATATGCCATTCATCCATCTGGTGCATTATAAATTAGTAGATCATAGCATATATTATGTGATATCTGCAGTTCCTTATGACAGTTATGCTTTGTTTAGAATAAAATTTTCACATTTGTTTGTAAAGTTAATATTCTGTATTCAGATAATCTTCCATGCAAAGGTTTGGATTCCAGTCTGGAAGAAAAGCACAAATCACATTCTTTCCATTCATATCTCACAGTAAACTCTGATTTGAACAAAATATGAATCAAGCATCATGAACAAGGAATAGATGATTAAGCACATGCTTGTAATTGATTGTCCAAACTGTAACTTGAAGTATTATTTAAATATACTCAGGGTCTGATAATCAATTTATGGAGCATTGGTCTGTGAGAGAACAATGAAGGGGGTCTACTGATTATCTGGAGAAAGTATTTCCATGCCAAAAGTACTTAGGAAAATGTCTAGCAACATTTTTAAAGAAAAAAAGGAGGACAGCAACCACCATATTCTTTTCCAGCATATACACCCCTGAAAACACAAATTGAGCAATATGGAAGCATCTCAGGGAGGTTCTTTAAAGCAGGGGTCCCCAACCCCTGGGCCATGGACCGGTACTGGGCCATGGCCTTGGAAGGACAGCCACCAAGAGAGATTTTCGAGGGCCAAATTGTGTGCAATTCCACCTGCATGCACACCTTCTGCATGCATACACACACATATAGTTTCAAAAGTCAAGGGCTCAAGCTACACCCCTGCCCACCTCCCACATGCATGGACAGACAGATTCCCCCCTCTCCAGTCCTTAGGAGAATAGTCTTCAACTAAACCGGTCCCTGATGACAAAAAGGATGGGATCCACTGCTTTAAATGACAGGATGGGCCACCAGATCTGCAGTCTTGACCTGGAAGTACTTTATGATGTTTTCTTTCACATAACCCGCCTCACTCTGAGTTTGGGATTTGGAGGAATTCTGTGGGATAGCTTGAGCCCTTGACTTCTGAAACTGTTTTAGAGTCAGAAGGGGCATTATTTTCAACCTTTGTAACATGGCCTTGAAAAATTCATGTGTGTTCCCCAGGGCCAACATTTGCAGCAGTTCCTTGTCTAGCTGGGAAGCGGCAGGGTTCTCTCACATTGTACCGATTAGATCGGTATCCTGAAGATGCCCTTGGTCTGGTTACTTTCATTTGGAAACCCAGGAGTGCATCCGACAAAGCTTCTCAAATTAGACAACTGTGGATATGGACACACCCAGCATTTAAGCAGGTACAGACCTTACAGTATTTTTAATGTGAAGTACTTGTTTGCTAGGCAACACCCTGAAATGCAGTTTAAAAAAAAGACTAAATGATTGTCTTACAGTGTTGTAATGTAATGTAAACTAATTGTATCCCACCTTGAGATCTGCTGATATAAGGCAGCTCTAATTTGGACCACTTTACATATGCGTGTTTGGCCAGCAGTCATCTTTCTGCAATGGTACAGCAGGCCTGATATGGACATTCTGTGTGGAAGCCTGATTCAAGCATTTTCTTGCTGCTACTAAGGTAGAAAATATCATGTTAACAGCCCAACATATAAACATATACATACATGTATGTATATATGTGTGCAGGTTGGAGGAAATACTTGTGTCCTCTGTTCTGGTACAAGAGAGGATAATAGGCAGTTTCCTTGTGCCAAGTTGGACTGTTAGTCCAATGGGCAGAGATTATGCCAGGATGTAGGGTAGAGGCTTACACCAGTTACCCAATAATTTTAACTGGAGATAACAGGAATTGAATTGCAGTGATGGGGAACGGTATCTTCTACATGCACACCATATGCTCTGTTGCTGAACTATGGTCTTTTCTTAAAGCATTAACCAAAGTAATATGGACAAGTTGGAAGGTATCTAGCTTTTAGGAAAATCTTTTCTAAAAGTAGTTTTACATAGATTTCTTCTACTGCCAAGTAGGCGTTGAGATCTTTTTGGCTGGGTGTGCATGGCATTTGTCAGGCTGAAGAATTACTTTAGAATAGTGGTCTGGGAGGTTCATCTCAGCTCCTCAGCTGCTTATTTCAAATAGGACTCATGTTATCTTCGTGGAAAATGTATGAAGAGATGTTCACGCTTAATGAGCCTTTCTCTGCACCACTCTGTAGGACATTCTGACTGAACTGAAAGCAGCTTTCCAGTGTACTGAGGCTACAGAAACCTGTAAACCTGAGCCTGTTGTATCGTTAAATCAAGAAGAAACCAAAATGGAGGCTATAGAAAACATGGGTCAAAAAAGAAAAAAGAAAGACCAGGAAGGAGAAACTGCTGTCCCTGTGAAAAAAATAATTGGCGATGGAACCAGAGATCCCTGCCTGCCTTATGGCTGGGAGTCCAAAACTACTGGGATCGTCATACGGTAATCACTGGGATTGGCTAGGTTCTGTTACAGCATTGTTCAGTTAGTCTCTTTAAGCTATCCAGTACTCCATGCTTTAACTCTGTTTTTTCCTCTTCAGTGACTTGACAATGGAGATCCTCAAATATCGGTTGATTGGCCCCCTCTCTCACTGTGTGCTTACAGAGGCACTCAAAGTTGCATCTGTTCATACAGTAAGTAGATCAGCCATCTGAGTGTTCAGTTTTTTTGTTATATGTGGAATAGTATTATTGCTCCGGAATTATAGTATACACATTTTTGAATGCAGTATTGCAAATAAAACCAATTACTTTTTTCCATACTACATTAAGATAGTGGCTGAATTCCAGTAATAAGTCACAAACAAGAGTAGGCCCATTGAATTAGTGGTGATTTGATAAATCCACACCTGTTTAAGTTCCGTTGATTCAGTGGACCTCCTCTAGTTGTGACTTACTCTTGGATTCCAGACATAGTTTTACATTTTGTGAAACTGAATATTTCTGGGTATTTTGTGTTGTCATTCATTCTGCCTTGGTTTCCAGGACCTTCTGTGTTCCGAAGGTGTGCTAGATAATGGAATATGATAAATGGAGTAATATAGAATAGAGAATGGAGAGCTGTTGTAGCTTTCACATCAGCTCTGTTTATCTGAAGACATCTAGATCAAGAGATAAAATGTATCTCCTAAATAAGGTTTGGGGTAGAGAAAGGAGGAACAGACCTTTGTCATCATCAGTATACCTCCCCATGCCTTACATGTTATCTTTGGCCTTCTAGGAACTGGATTCTACAGATTCTGAAATTAACAGTTGGTGGCTAAAAAACTGCAGAAATCCTGACCAAGTTTCTCTTCATCGCCGTCAAGAAGCCATCTTTGAACTCCTGCAAGGTAAACTTCTAATTAGACCTCTTACCCTTGATTGGAAGACAAGGGTGGGAGACTCTGAAGGCTCTAATCCATGCCCAGTTCTCAGTGTTAATCAAGCTGAATGTTGCTGGAAGAAGACTTAGGAGTTTGGTACTTGAAGACCAATACAATGTAGTGTGAAGGGCAGTACTGTGTGCTAATAGCAAACTTATTCTCTGAAATCAGACAGTTAAGTAGCTGAATGGTACCAATCCTATCGCTCATAGATATTATTAGTTGTATTTATATGCCACATTTCTCCCAACAAGGGACCCAAAGCTGCTCACAATATTAAAATCCACGCAATTTAAAAAAACAATAAGTTAAATATTTTAAACAATATATGATTTAAAATACAATTAAAAGATTAAAACATGAAAACATTTTAAAAAATTTAAATTATCTGCCAAAATGGGGTTCAGGGATTCAGTTTTAATTGTTAAAAGGCTGCCTGAAGAGATGGGTCTTTAGCTTTTCTCAAAAGGAGAAAAGGGAAGGGGGGCATCTTGATCTCCCGAGGGAGAGCGTTCCATAGCCTGGGAGCTGCCACAGAGAAGGCCCTCTCCCATGTCCCTATCAGCTGTGCTTGCGCTGGCAATGGGACCAAGAGGAGGGTCTCCACTGCTGATCTTAATTGTCGGGAAGGCCCATATAGGGAGATACGGTCCTTCATGTAGCCTGGACCCAAACTGTATAGGGCTTCATAGGTAATGACCAGCACTTTGAATTGGGCCTGGAAATGGACTGGTAGCCAGTGCAGTTCTTGTAACAGGTGCGCGATATGCTGCCTAGTCAGTAGTCTGGCTGCAGAGTTTTGCACCAGCTGAAGTTTCCAAACCATCATAGCATCAAAGAGTTTAGATACTCAATGTTTTGTAGGAGTGAAAGAAACAAAAATCTTACAGAACAAAATACTTATAGGGAGGATTCCCCCAGATTAGCCCAGTGAAGGCTGAATGTGGGCAGTGACTATAGAATGCTAAGTGTCTTAAGACAGGATGAAAAACTGGGGGAAAGGGAAAGTATCCTTTAAGAGGGCCTGGCTGGCTGGCTGGAAACCTGAATAAGAGCACACCATCCCAGGATACTTGTTTGCAGGTCTCCCTTTTTGTACTTACTGATACAAATGCACCTCCCCCCCATTATATCAAGAAGGATCTGAAATGTTAAAAATCTGAAACAATTAAAAGACAATTCCAGGAAAAATTCTTTTTTTGTCACGTATGTGTTGAAATTTCTCTTTTGACAAAAAAATCCACAGATAAAAGGAGCAGGTACTTTGCACCGCAATGGATCTGGATTTAATGGTACAGAAATCCTGTTGGTGTTTGGCCTGGCAGCTTCTAGTGTAGGATGTGGCAAATTCCACACTTGTTTTACCAATGGGTGGTATTGCTCAAATTTTGAAAGCCAGCAGCAAAAGTATAGACGTGGTGGAGAACTTCTCTGTATATTTGTTGCAGATCTTGACAAAATGTTCTTCTTAAAGGTGCATTCATTTTTTTTAAGGATTAACTTCATCAGACATTCCATCAGGTACTGTAGTAGGGTTGACAGTTGGGGATCCTCGAGTGAACTTACCGAAAAAGAGATCAAAAGCCGTGCCACATCCTGAAAAATATCAAGGTAAAGTCTAACAAAAAGAACAAAGTAGTTTCCTTCATACCTGCTTATGTTCATATGTGTTTCTAACATGCCATGAGTGTTTACTATAAAGAACAGCAGTTCGAGGAAGGGGTTTGGCACCAAACTGGTCTTGTGCTCAGTGGAAGCCTCTGTTTGATGATACAGATGATCCAGGTTCGAATCCTGGCGAGGCCAACAGGTGCTGTAACCTAAGATGCAACACTTCATTTTCACCTGCTTGTGTTGTCCCATAAATATACACTTCTGGGGGGAGGCAAGAGTTCTTCCCTGCCATTGACTAGGGCTTGGCCAGCAGTGCAAGCATGGCTCTAGAAATAGTTTTCTATGAATGAAATAAAAACAAGGGCCTCCATAATTCAGTGTCATTGAACTAAATTGAAAGTTGCTGGATAGTGTTGGATCTATAACTCTAGGATGTTGCTTGTGATTGTTTATCTGGGCCATCAGACCTGAAACATACATTCTGACTGGCAACAGCTGTCTTATCTTCTTGGGCAGGAGTCTTTCTGACTTTTTTGGACTATGATTGTTTGATTGGAGGAGCCCAGCATGGCTAGGCTGTGTGCAAAAGCATGTTCTGTGTTGCTGATACATGGCTCCTCTATGCAAGATTGGCCAGCTCAGACTTAAATCGTTGGCCACTCTGCATTTTGGGGCCTCTCTTGTGTGTCCGAGAACCTAATGAAAACCTTATTGGCTGCTGTGTCGAAACAGTACTTTTTCAGATTTGTGCCTGTTGTTAAATATCTATGATTTGTTCCTTACCATCCATGTTAGATTTACAAATTCATCAGGAACCAATGAAATCTCTATAGTCTTCTGAGAATGACTACATTTTAGTTTTTGATGAGAGAATACATCCGTTTCGCAAGTTGGTAATTTTGTTCTCTAACCACTGTTTGCCATTGAATTTAACAGCCCTTTCTGTTTTGAGAGATTCTGCAGGCAGTGCTTGTTTGCAGACAGTGCAAATAAGGTAAAATTGGTGACAGAAGAGCAAAGGGTAGAAAGAGAAGATGTTAACTGGAGGCATGTGGGCACCCAGCAATGAGCCTGGAGGGCTGAAGACTCCTTTTGCAAACAGCCTGTGTGAAGATAGCACCTAAAAAGAAAACAAAGGAAAACGTTGTGCTCATTTGAATTCTGCTTCACAGCTTGTCTTTGCATTAGCATAGTCATCATAATGTGTCTTTTCTGTAGATTAGCAAATTATTTGTTCGCTGTAGTTGTTTAGTCTTTTGTTCTCTTACTTCAGTAAGACCAGCTACTGTGTTCCTAGCAAGAGATTTTATTCCTAATTGTTCTGTAATTTTTCCAGGAGTGATAGTATATTACTTCCTTGTGATCTGTAAAATCATTGTGTTGTGTTTGAAGGTAAACAGTGTTTTGAGTAGTACATGGAAAATTCTGTAGGTTTCTAGGAAACTGTTCTAATCTTGTAGGAATAGTGTGTATGTGTGTTCATATAAATAGATATAGAAGAAAGTAGGAGTACCAGCCGCCTGAACAGTTCTCCCACCATACCTCAAAAGTATAGGTCAGTACCCTAATCCTTGCACACAATTTGTGAGGGCCAGAGCAGAGTTGCTTAGAAGTTTTCTTTTACTGATAAAAGCATGTCCCCAAGGCCAACTTATGACAAGGCTTTGCAGGGTTTTCTGGGGTATGAAGTACTCAGAAGAGGTTGACCAGTCTGTTCTTCAAGAGATGCTCTGGGATTGTGTGGCTTGTCCAGCGTCACACAGTCTGGCTTTTCTCCCAGGCAGGAAGCAGAGTGGGTGATTAAACTCCCAATCCGTGGCTCTGCAGCCAAGGTGTTGTAACTCCAAGAACTATCCAGCTAGTCTAGCATTTTTCTATGAGGTGTATTCATGTACACAGCTAACAAATACAGTGGTGCCTCGCTTGACAAGGATAATCTGTTCCAGCGAAACCGCTGTAGAGCGAAATCCTCATCAAGCGAAATAAAAAAGCCCGTTGAATGCATTGAAAACCTTTCAATGCATTCCAATGGGCGAAATACCTCAGCGTCCAGTGAAGATCCTCCATAGGGCGGCCATTTTCTGCTCCCTGTATAGCGAGGAATCTGTCCCAAAACACAGTGGGGAGCCATTTTGAAGACCCGATGATCAGCTGTTTTGATCATCCTTAAGTGAAAACCCGGCCCCCAAAGCAGGGAACCGGTCATCGTAAAGTGGTTTTTTCCTAAGTAAACATCGTTTTGCGATCGATATAGTGATTGCAAAAACCCCATCGTGCAGTGAAAAAACCGTCATGGGGTAACCGTCTAGCGAGGCACCACTGTTCCTATTGTACAGCGAAAAAACCATCATGCGGGGTGACCGTCTAGCGAGGCACCACTGTAGTTCATTAGCCTCTGATCTTATATGATAAGGGTCAGATAAGGGCTTTAACTATATTAACCTGCCTACTAAAATGGAGGGGTGGTTATTTAATTTTCCCCCCCTGGCCTCAGAACACTGTAAAACTACCACTTCTTCATTTCCCCAAACTACCAGAAATAAACCTTTTGCCTTTGTCAAACTATTAGAGATTAATTTTTTCCAGCTCTTAGTATTCCTTCCTTCCTTTTCCTTCCTTCCTTTCTTCCTGTTCAGTGTATTGGTCTTGAACAACGTACAAAGATTGTTATATTCTTAAGCTATATCGTTACCTTCCTTTATGCTGTGACCTGGAAATTGGTAAGGTTAAAAGGTTTAATAATCCTTTCATAGATTACTCTTCTCTTTCTTTTTGTACTTCACAAAAGCTTATGCCCCAAGAGTTCATGTTGTTTCTGTGCTGGTAGCCTATCAGGGATGACAAACCTCTCTATTTTTCTTTCAGAGGATGAGAAAGTTAAGCAACTCATCTTAGAAGGTGTGCCTGCAGAATGCGCTCAGAGTTTTCTCTGGGACCGCAGCATCTGTAACAATGTCACCAAAAATAAAATGCCAGAACAGGTAACTTTATATTAATTTATCGTGAAGCATGTGGGTATTAATATGTTTCTCTATTAACCCATGCACTTTTGAGACTTAAAACCATTCATAAACACAAAATGTTTGGTTCTAGATTTATTTATTTATTTATTATTTATTTATTCCATTTATACCCTGCCTATCTGGTCATATTGACCATTCTAGGCAGCTTACAACACACAAAGGGAAAAAATATACAAGAACAATATATAAATAAAAAGGAATTTGTACATAATTAAAAAATTCAATAAGATGGAGATAGAAAACATAATAATGAAGATCCTGCCTCTCTCTCTCCAGCTGGTAAAACATAGTGGCTAGATCACTAGATTTAGGTTATTGAGACCCACAATCACATCCCTGTTTAGTCCCAGAATATTACTAGTTGGCCTGGGGCTTTTCTCTCTCTCATCCTAATCCATCCCAGGAGGTTCTTTTTAGGACAACTATCAGTGTAATGTAGCAGCTACAATGTTGAGAACTTGGAAGATGGAGGTTTAAGTCCCCGCTGAACAATGCAACCCCTTGCTTGATGTTGCAGCAGTTATTCTTTCTCAGCCTGACCTACCTCCTTGGGTTGTCATGGTGATCAAGGGGAGAGGAGAAGAGCCATGCACACTGACTTGAGGTCCCTGGAGGAATGGTAGAATATAAATGCAGCTAATAAATAAGGCAGGATAGTTCAGGGTGCTGATAATGCTACTGTCAGTCCTTTGGAGGAAAACTATTTCTCATCTAAATTTCTGTGAGAAGTCTATAGAGCAGCTATGTGGGTGGGTCTCAGCCCATGGGGAAAACCCACGCAAAATTTCCCTGGATTAATGGCAAACATGAGGGCTTCTGCTTCCTAGTAAGGTGCACAGAAGGAGTCTGTTGTGGTGGATTAATCCTCTGTGTGCATACCTGTAGAGATTCTTTACCTCAGCTGACCAGGTATTTTAGGCTCGGGACTAACCTGCATTGTCCTGCAATCAGCTGCACACATTTTTTCAGCAGTTTGTGGAGAAAGGGATTTGTGAATGTCTCATTCTATTAACAAAATGCTGAGTTGGAGGTATGGCCTTCCATGAAGCCTTTTATACTGGATATTTTCTGCTAGTACAGTGGGTTTTCTTATCTTTGAAGCAAACTTTGTCTGTCTTTGGCCTCTTAGGAGCTGAATCGTCTGAGAAGTGAACTCTTGGTGCCGGGATCACACCTCAACTTGGGTCCACGGGAATCCAAGATTCCTATACTCTTAGTTCAGCATCCTGGAAAAACAGCCGGAGAAGATCACTCGGGATGGGGAAGTGGCTGGGATATTTATCTGCCCAAAGGCTGGGGCATGGCTTTCTGGCTTCCTTTTGTGAGTGGTGTTTCCAATTAAAACATGAGGTGAAATGTAACTTGGACTACATTGTAGGGTACCTTCACGATTCTTGACACTTGATGGCCGTACTTACATTTTAAAATTGCTTAATTTGAAAAGTGTTATGTAAACAATCAATCATCTTTGCAAAAAGGCCCAGGGCGGGGAGGGGGAGGAAAAGAAGATGGGAAGAATTGCTCTTGTCTACTTTTGGTTTGGTTCCAACCTACCACTGGCTAGTGAACCTTGACACATTGCGTTCAAAGGCCTTGGAGTTGTGGCTCTGACAGACATGCATTCTTTTTTAAATCTTCTTCATTACAAGAAAATAATTTTAAAAATTATTAGTGCATGGTTCATAAAATGTAGCAGGATTTCTGGACATTTTCATGTCTCTTATTCCTACATGCATATGAGCCCATCTGTGATATAATAGAAGAGTCCAAGGCAGCTTGCAGTAAACTATACCTCCCCACCTCCAACATTGAGGTGGCACATGCCCCTTTTGTTCTGTTGAATTTGCTGTGATGCCAGATAGTAGCAATGTCTTTTTCCCCACTTGGCTCTAAAAGTAAAAGTGAGTAAAAAAATCCCCACAGATGCTGTTGTGCTCAGTTATGGCACTGCACCACCTTTTCTTATATATAGTGGATTACCATCCTTGTTCTAACTTGGATGTTGTCCAGTGGCATGATCTGATACATATCAGACAAGGCACAAAACAAAATCAAAAGAAAAAAAGGTGCAGCACCATAAAGACTAACTGCTGTAGTTTAATATGAGCTCACATTAAAATGAGTTGATAATAAGCTCATATTAAAATACATTAGTTATTCTTTAAGGTGCCACATTTTCTCTTCTTCATTTTTATTTTTTGCTTTGTTTTGTGTCTTGTCTGATAACACTTTCAAATTAACACATCTCGGTGGATCATACTCCTTAGAGCCTTACAGGGAACAGAATTGAAATTCACTGGTTGGAGCTGCATAAAAATATATATTGTGGTGCCTCATATATAGCCCATAAGCAGCATGTTGCTCATTTCCCTCTCCTCTAGCCACCATTTTTTTAATTCTTGAATTTTTAGTGCATCATCTGCAGAGAACTGGTGCCTGGCTTGATGAAGGCCCATATGAACCAAAAACCAGCTTTTATTTGTGATTATTTTTTTGTGATGTATCAGAGAAATAATCCATATTCTCAAAAGATACATACGTGCAAACCAAAACAGTAGTTGTGAATCAAGAATCCCTCTAAAACTGTATGTTTATATTTAATTAATTAAATAGTAGCACATAGCTACTTTGAATTCCTGAGTTCAGGGCATGTGAAGGAATGAAATGAAGTTGATATTGATGTGCACATTGAACAGTTTTAGTGCTGTCTAGATAATTACATTCATATGAAAGTCAAATTGTTACAGATGCTGCTTTTGCAGTTCACTTTCTCCTTGCAGATGAAGCATTTTGATGGTGCTGTTATATTAAGAGAGAGTGGTTTTGAACTCAAGTAGATGGGAGAAGAATGGGATGATGATAGCGTGTAACATGTCCAACCAGTTGCAACCCCTTGCTGCATCCTTCAGAATTCAAGAGTGGCTTTGGAGAAGGAGAGGAGTTCACAGGGAGCTGCTTTGGATAAAGAGGTTCTGGAAAACTCTGCTATCAGTGAACAGATCCCAGCAAATTTGTCTTTCATGTATAAGAATTACAAACATTACCATATTACATTTGTATTGTCAGGATTGCAAGACTTGCCAGGTATCGAGAATCCATTTTTCAACCCTTGAACTCATCTTTGTAGGGGAAAAATAAGTAGATTATTTGAAGTATTGACTTTCCACAACTAGAGGAATCCATGGCACTGTCATGCTTTTTCATTGTAGATCTATCGAGGTGCCCGAGTAGGTGGCTTACATGAGACTCTGAAACATTCCCTGTACAAGAGAATGCCACATGCTCCTCATGATTATCCAGACTGCCCTGCTGGTATCGAATCTGCCAAACAACTGGAGAACAATCTTCTTGAAACATTCAAGAGGTAAATGTCTTAGAACTGCAGAGCTGGAAGGGACCCTATGGATCATTGAGACCAGCTCTTGTCAAGGAAACACACTGGGGAATCAAACTCCCAACCGGGATCAAGTCCACAGCCAGATACCTAAACCACTGAGCTATCCAGCTGTCCAGAAAGAGCAGGTCAGAGTAAAAACCATGGGCTGTGATATGTAGTGAAATGTCTAACTTACTGCTCACATGCTCAGTCTGCTGTATATTTTGCCTTTGTTTATTTTTACCTTGCTGGATGGTTCTTTAAAATGTCCACTGTTTCCCTACCAGTAACAAAAATGCATATATTGGGAAAAGTGTGTGAAAACGCTTTTTTGAGGGGTGTGTGTGGATTTTTTTGGAAAGTTGAGAACTGCCAATGTGATGGAATGAACCAAAGATGGGAAAGAATAAGAATCTGATAACAATGAAAATAGACAGATTCATCCACTCTATTAAAAGCATTAAAGCACACAAGCCTGCTAGTTAGAAAAAGGTGTTTTAAAAAAACTTTGGGTGAATTTGTATATGGAATAATAACTTTCTAATGTACTTCATATGTTGTTGCTTCTGAACTGGGAATATGCTTTTTTTTTAAATCTAAGGCGTCCTCCTGCAAAAAGAACAAATTATATTAAACATGGGACCTTAGCCCCATTTCTTTGTCCCTGGGATAAGTTGACCCAAGCTTGGGAGGAGAGAAACAAGGCTCACAGAAGGGACATGCACACATCAGCCCCAGAGGTTGAAGCATGTGTAAATGAAGAAGAAGTTTCTTGTAATCCCCTCTCTGGAGCACACGTGGTTGAATCCCCAGTGACGGGCAAATTGGATGAGAATATGCACTGCCAAAACATACCGATGGATGAAGACGAACAAATGGCAGATATATGCAAGAGAAATGAAGTTGTATCCAGTCGTGCCTTCTGTGTTCTCAGGTATGCAGAACAAATGGATTCTTCAGATTAGGGGTGGAAGAACTTCTGGTCCTCTAAATCAGTGGTCCCCAACCTTGGGCCTCCAGAAATCCTGGCCAGCAGAGGTGGTGGTGAAGGCTTCTGAGAGTTGTAGTCCAAGAACATCTGGAGGCCCAAGGTTGGGAACCACTGCTCTAAATGCTGTTTGTACATCTATCATCCCTCACCACTGGCTACAGTAAGAGGTTTAGTCCAACATCATCTAGTAGGAGCTATACCTTTCCTATCCTGTCAAGTTATAGAGTATTTTGTCCTCTTTGGCTTTGGAGCATCTCACATGCATCCTGCTTAGCCATTGTGCCACTCCCAGTTTCCACCCATCTTGTAATCACGTGTCTTGCAGACTGGGTTATCATATTTGTAGTTTTAGAAGTGAGAGCCATGTTAGTCTGTGCTAATGTGTTAGGCAAAAACAAAACAAAAATATAAAGAAGAGAAAAACGTGGCATCTTTTTTTTGACAAGTCCACTTCTTCAGACATTACTTGGGAGAGACATGTTAGTCTGTGCTAATGTGTTAGACAAAAACAAAACAAATATAAAGAAGAGAAAAATGTGGCATCTCTTTGCTGACAAGTCCACTTCTTCAGACATTACTTGAAGTGGAGTGGTCCATGAAATCTCACATTAAAATATAGCAGTTAGTCTTTAAGGTGTCACAAAATTTTTGTCTTTATTTTTGTTTTGTTTTTACCTGGCATGGGTTATAATAGTCTGTATTGTATACGTTTCTTGGTGCTTGCTGCTGGGTATGGGCTTCTTTGAAGGTAAGCATCATCTGAGTCTAAATATGTAACAGTAATACGTGTCTGTGTACACATACACACTGCTCTTTAGATTTTTTTCAGGTGCAGATGCTGTGCTTGTACCTGCACATTTCAATAAACTGAATCAGAGCAATTAGCTGTTAAGAAGAAGCATACTGCTATTACAAGTTTTTTTTAAATAAAAGTCCATGCTTCTAGTTTACATATCCATGTGATGCGTTTTGTGAACTGGAGTAGTTAAAGTATTGAACCCTACTTAATAAATATCAGTAGACTGTGAGGAATCCCAGAGCTTCCGAAATACACAAAGCTTTATTAAAATATCAAGGTAGAGAAAGCCCTAAACAAGATGGTAGAGACCTGACATGCTTAGTGGCTTCAGAATGTTAAGTTTCATTTTGGGGAGGGGAAGAAGAAATGATGTGTGGTGGGAAGAGATAGAAAGGAATAGAATAACTTAGGAAAAGGCATGATTGGCTAATTGGTTGAAAAAAGCATCCTACACTGCAGCATTTTGCTGGCCTCATCAGTTTTTCTGTTTTTGTTAAACTGCAAGCAAACCTGACATGTTACCCTTTCAACAGGAGCAGGAGGTTCTTGAGGCGAGTGTCAGTATGGTGTCAGCCTACATCTGGCAAAAAGCGGAGGATGCAGCGCCTTGCTTCCAAGCAAAATCAAGAGGACCTGACTGAGGAGGCTCTCTTGCCTATCTTCCAGCGCTACCCCAGGGCACTTGTGTGGGTCAGTTTATCCCTCATCAGAAGAGGTAGCCCTGAGCTGCACACAATGATTTGCATTCCCACCCAAGAAGATATCTTACAGCTTGGAAAAGACCAACAGTTCTGCGGTCCTCAGGAACCGAAACACAGCGACCGATTTAAAAGCAAGCTATCAAAACGAAAGGGAAAGAAAACGGGAAAGAATACTGGAGAGGCAAAAGAATGTAGTGGCTCTGACACTGGGAAAGTATCACAAAGTGAACATAAAAATCTGGTTCTGGGCTTGTGGCCTGACCCTCTGCCGGATGTTGTATCTCACTGTTCCAGACTTCTTTTGGGTGTTGTTACTCAAGGGGACTTCTCTTTGGCCTCTGGCTGTGGTGAAGCTCTGGGGTTTGTTAGTTTGACAGGATTGTTGCATATGTTGACTGGCCAGCCAGAGGACAAAAAAGGGCTTGTCTTGTTGAGAAATCCAGCATCACTACAATACAGATTTGCCAGGCTTACTGTTGAAGTCTAACTTTGGCTTGAAATTTGGTGGCATGTAAGAGTACAAAAGACACTCTGAAAGTATACATGGTTCTAAATGCAGATTCAAAGACTCCGTAAAGGTGTGTCACGACTTTGGCTTGAAATTTGTTGGCATGTAAGAGTACAAAAGACACTTTCCCCTGAAGATATACATGGTTCTAAATGTAGATTCAAAGACTCCGTAAAGGTGTGTCACCTTTGTTCCCTTGCATCAGGAATGTGGCTTTGCAGTTCTGTATAGCTTGATCTCAAAGTAACCTCTTCATTGCTTAAAGCCACAGAGGTTTTCTGAATGTGTGTACACTTTAAAACATTTTAAAATGAGGAACTCATTTAATTCGGGTAAGTGATTAACCTCCCCCAGCATTCTATTCAGCTCAAAACTGCTAGCATGTACATTTCAAGTAATTAATTATTCTCTTAAACTACTGACCAGCCTGCCTGTGGTCATACATTCAGCAAGTACAGTTTTTATGTGCCCACATATTCCCCAAGTAAGATTCCTTGTCTTCTGGTCCTTGGGACAAACATGGTTTTATCTCATGGCCCTAATCAAATAATGTCATAAACTGTGTACCCTGAATCTGTCCAAAATGTTTCATTGTAACAGTAAACCTGTTAAAGCTATGAAGTATTAATTGCATGGAAGGTTGGTTGCCTAGTGTTAGCCTTGGCTCTTAGCAATGAGTTATAATGTATTCTATTTTGAAGAATTCTTCAGCATTTTAAAATGAAGATAGTTTTCTCCCTTCTTCTGTAAACCATGCTAGCTTCCATGAAAGAGAAGTAAAATCATGTTGCTTTGTCATGGACTGTAACACTTTAAAAGAGTAACTCCTTTATCCAGTCAGTAAATATGTCAAAGATACTTAAAATGCAATAAACACCCTCAGAATGTAAGAATAATATTTGTTTGTGTTTTAAACTCTTATATGAAAACATATTTGGTAGAGGGTCTTCCTTTCATACATCCCTTTTCAGTGGATCTTAAGTGCTAATCTAATATGGTGTCCTTCCTGTTTTTATAAAGATCTTTGTTTCTTTCATCAATGGTCTTTAGGTTTATGAGTAGAGATGGGCACAACTGTTGGTTCACCAGTTCGTGCAGTTCATTTAGTGGCTGAACAGGTATTTGGTGCTTCAAGGCCCTGCCTCCTCCTGCGGTCACCCACTCGGAGGCAGCATCCAGAGGAGGCAGGGTAGGGAAGCCAAGCTGCTGCCTCCAAGTGACCTCCCACAGATCTGAGGCTATATAATACATGAGCAAACCTTAAACGTCTCTACAGACTGGTGCTTGTACTTCCACAGTTTGTTCTAAGATCAAAGCTATGCCCATAGAAACTTAGGGTTTTGCTTTTTCATTATCGATAAATGCTCTTAGTTTAACACACTGTTTAAAATTCATTTATATAATTAAGAAATGCCTGCTGTCGGTAAAAGGGAAATATAGATTAAAGCTATTTGTGTCTTGGAGAAGATACTTGTGTTTTGAAAAGGTTTAATTGCTCTGTTTGTAATATGCTGTAGATACAGCACAGCTAGTATGCTCTAATTAGTCGCTTTATTATTTTTTTAAGGATACTGTTGTATTCTTCTGCACATTAAGGTACATTTTTCTTCCCTAGACTAAGCCTGACACAGTATATTTGTACTGTTACACATACAACTCAGTGCTATAGGATCTGTATTATGGTATAGATTATGGCCGCCCAAGGGGCTTGCTCCTGTCTTATGTTACAGCTTGTTTTGTGTTGATGTTGTGCTGATTTGAAAGATGTGGGCGATTTCAGGTTAGAAGTCCAGTAGCATGCAAAACCTAGCAGTGTCAGCACTGAAACTGGCCACAAGATGTCCCCATAGGGAAAGCAATGCCCTTTCTGGGATCATCAGGAGTTCCATAATGCATGAAATAACTGTGTGCAGATAATAAAAGCCTTCAGATAGCCTGCAACTAGATAAAAGTGTGTTTTGCCATGGCAACAATGGATTTCAAATAACTTTGAATTGGATTCCATGTAGTGATTGTTCTTTATGGCATAGGCTTTAGACTCCCTAATTTTCTTGTCTCTTATTACCTGAAAGCAGAATTAGTTAACTTAATTGTCCCGATCCTATATCCCCTGATACTTGGTCCCTGGATGGGAAACTGTAACATTCAAAGAAGGAGGTAAAGGCAGGATGAGGAAACAGTGGAATACCACCTAATTTGGTCCTGTAGAACTCGGGCACATCTTCTGTGTTCATCGTCTCTCTTTATATGTAGCATGCGTTCTTTTAGCTGAACTTTCATCAACATTAGGTTTTCTAGATTTCATGGACTTCCGTTCCCTCTATCTGCAATGTGGATGTGGCTGAGGATGGACTATATGTCTGAAGTCCGGTGTATCTGAAGAGTACCAGGCTGAAGCTTTAGCTGTTCTCTCAACTCTTTGGATAACCAAGGTTTATTCAAGATATGATTATACTTCTAGCACTTCATACCATCAATATGTTGATTATAAGAGTGGTGAACATTTTCTTTGTGCTTTAGGCAGGGATGTTGGCACGTATTTGGGTTCGAGTCCCAGTCTTTGGTACAAAGTCCTGAATCCCAAGTCCGAGTCTCTATTAAATGCAAGCTTCCCGCCCCGCCCCCCCCATAAAAAAGGTAGCAGGTGATTGGGTTCTGAGTAACAAGTCAAGTCTGAGTCATTGGGGGGGAACCAAGTCAGGTCTGAATTGAATTGACAGTCCCATCCCTGGCTTTAGCTGAGGGTCCAAATTCCTGGTAATGATTAAAACTTTGGTACATGTCAAATATACCAAAGCAGTTGAGTAAAACTACTGCTGCAGTCTGAAATCTTACTTCTAATACCTATACCAGGATTGGGCAGTTTCTGATAGTGATGGGTCAGGCCATGCCATTGAATGTTGGCCTCTGGGCGGCAAAATGCATGTACTTTAAAATAAGACATGTAGGAAGCGCATGCCTTGTTTTAAAGCATTTGGCAGCTTTAAAACAAGATGCACACTCCCTATGTGTCTTTTTAAAAAGTGAAACTCCAGGAGGAGTTGTTGCCATATGGCTCACAGACTCACACATAAATCAAGTATATGTGCTTGGGTGTTCAGTAAAATCTTATTTTGTTCAGAGTTAAATTTAAACAATAATCTGTTGTGCATTTTGATGTATGTCACCATATTTTTTCCTACCGTATGGAAGCACATTGTGTTCCTTTTTTCTCTGTCAGAGAGACTCTCATGGGAACTTTAGAAGAAGTTCAAAAAGCATGGTTAACGACAGTGGTGGCACACAGACAGTCCAAGTCTTTGGGTCGAAGCCCTAAGTTGGGGAGATGGAAATCCCTTGAATTATCGCTTCAGTTTTGGAAGAAGATACGTTTTGCAAAGTTTTATCAATGGCTAAGATTCTCTTGCACAATTATGCTCCATTTACAAATTGAATATATTGCGTATATTGTATATTGAGAAAATTATGCACATTCTCTTTTCCATGCCAACTCGTACAACTCAGCATGCAACATATCATGTCTACGCAGAATTCTAAATGTGATATAATTCACTGCTAGAAATTACATGTTTTGTATAACTGCACCACAGGATTTTGGCCAATATATTTTAGCGCCTTTTGAATCCACTTTTATATTTGAGTCTCAATCCAACATGGGATCTTTGCTTATTATTTTTACCATTTACCAATTAAAATACGAGGTGAAAGAAGAGAAAATTGGATAGGTTCACCTGAAATGGATTCCACTCTGGAAGAACCAGAAGATTGTGCCAAGTTATCCTTTTCCATGTGACTGCCAGCATAAATCAAAATACGTGATATATTTCCTAGCTGGGAAATAGTATTTCTCATTGGTAGGAATGGTAAGGTAGCATGTCCTTTGCTATATGGCTAATTTAATATCTGCTTTTTTTAGGCTGATGGAGAAATTGGAAATACTATTTTCAAGCCAAATCGGATAGAAAAGAGAAGCATTAATCTTGGCAGCACTAAGTCTCCCATAAGTAACAGGTTTTCTGGTGACTCAGATCACAGACTATTTAAGAGTACCATTTGCCTATGCACTTATTAAAATATTTCTATTCCACTTTATAGCATAAGGCCTCCAAGTAAAGCACAGACAGTAAAACAACCAAAACACAATGGAAGGAAATTGACAGCACAGTTGGTTTGAGCCAAGCCATTATCGCAAAAGCTTGATGGAGATACCATTTTTAAGTCAGACCTGAAATGAGGACTCCTTAGTGCCAATCAGACCTACAAGGAGAGGCCATGCCACATATATGGTGCCAACGCAAATGAGGCCCTTTCCAGTCTCTCTGCATAATGTTTTGCTTGCCATATAGTGAGACACAGAAGAAATCTAGCGCTTAAAATTCTATTTCTTGGGACAGCCATTGTAAGCAATTGGTCCCAGAAAAAGGATTTGGTTAAGAATCTAAGCCCAGAGTCAGATACTTGGTCCAAGTTTGCAAATCTTGAATCAGGAACTGTTGTCTACCTGAAAGATTTTAAATAAGGCTTATTGAACCATTGCTTGCTTGCTTATTCATTCATTCATTCATTCATTCATTCATTCATTCATTCAAAATTGTTGAATTTTAGATTTGCTTGAGGCAAAAAGCTTTCTCCCATTACATTCCTGGCAATATTGATTTTTGGAGTTTTCTGGATGAGTGGTTGTTCTGAATCTCTGTGACTGAAGGATCCAACACAATGTATAATCTCTTCACACTCTTGGTTGTTTTCAGTGCTGATGCTTTTAGAAAAAAGTGCAAATGTACCAACAGTTGATTGAACACTTTCATCATTCCAGTATGCTTCTGAAGAACTTCACATAAGTCCCTTAGTTGACCAGTTAAAAGGATCAAGTAGAAAATAATGTGAAATACTTTTACCTCAGACCCTAGAGAGCTGCTGCCAGTCATAGTTTACAGGCCTGGACTTGAGGTGCCAGGTCATGGAGGCAAGATTAGCTGCTGCTTTATTTGTTTCAAAACAGTTAAGACTGCTGTATTCATTCTGTCAGTCTGTGAAAGCTTAGCAAAATTACTTTTTTGAACATTGTTCAAAAAGTAACTTTCTCAAGCTTTTAATACTTTGCCTTTAATACTTTGTATTATGCTATATGCTGTCACTCATTAGTTGCAGCCTTAATGCTACTAACTTTTTGTTGCATGGGTTATTGCTCCTGTACTTTATTATATATTTTTATGATACATTTATGTATCTAAGCCAAAAAGGTGAAGACCTAGGGTATAAAAATTTGCCCCTCCTCAAAAATATTTTTCATAATTTTCCCCCAGACCTTCACATTCCTGCCCTGTGCTTCTAATACTCTGAAGACAGATTTCTATATTCTTAAGTCTGCATTGAGTTTAATAGATACCACTTACAGAATTGTGTTCACAATATGCACTTTGGTTCCCTTCTTTTCTCTTGCATGTGTCAAAATCTGTCAAGCTTACCTCCATTGCTTCAGGTGTGTGTGTGTGTTTACTTATGGGCTGTAGCAATGCAAAAAGCAGTAGTGAGCTGCTCAGAACAGTCCATATTTCTTAGAGATTTATTTAATTTGGGCTCCCTTTGGCCAAGTTCAGTTTACCTAATTTGGGCTAATTATTCATGCACAGAATTGCAATGTCTTAGAGATATACAGAGATCAGGTATGTACATCGTATTAGTCATATGCAGGATAACGCAGCTGAGCCACACCATGAAAATCCTTGGTTTAATAGTCTCAGACACAGAGTGACTTTCCAAAGACGTGACTGATTTGCTGTGGGAAGGCAGACACTTCAATTGAGGTGTTTAGTCTGTTGCCAAGATTAAAGAGTTAACCAAACTGTAACATCTTTCTGCAAGTCATTTTGTCAGCATATTAATTGTATCCAGG